CTTCCAAAAATTAATTTAAGGTAACTACATGTAGTTATAAATCCTACAATATTGACACTGTCCATTTTAATGACAAGTCATATTTGTTTACAAAACTTACCTACTATAAAGGCTGTTTTCTGATTGGTTCCCAATCTTTGACGGGAACAAGTGAAATAGCAGCTTTCCAGCTCGACTTTTTAAAAGCGACTTTTGGCAAGAGGAATGGTATCACAAAACCTTGACATTGTGAAGATGAAGTAATATATTCTGGTGCAAAGGTTATAAGTAAGGTTAAAGTTTTTGGAATGTCAAACTTCGAGGTCTAGGTCATGAGGTCAAAAAATCATAGTACCTTTGGAAAGTCTTATTTCAGGTTATTCAAGTGTATATTGTGTCTACAGGTGCAAAAGCTACAATTAACCAAGGTTGAAATATTTGAAATGTATGTCAACTTTAATGTCAAGGTCGTAGGTTAAAAAAATCTTTTAAAAAATCGGAAAGTTCTCGTCACATGACACATAATTAGATATGGAAGACATATTTTCTCTCATTTAAAAGTAACGGCTAAGGTTAAAGTAAATATGGAAGGCAGAGACAGACAGTAAGACAGAAAATCCAATTTTTTAAATTAAAATAAACTTCAAAGATAAAATTTATAGGCAACTTTTCTGTGTAGTGAATATGACGTCTGCATCTTGAAAAGCAACCTTAATTTTTGTAGCTGATCAAAAACTTCGTCCTTTACCTGAATGATTTCAAAATCTGTTAAATTAATAAGCATCTGTCTTTAATTGTTCTACAATTAAAATAGTAAAAATGTACGTTAACGGAAAAATACACCTAGGTCCTTTAAAAGTTGCAAAAGATTCATTTCTAAAGTCTTGATCCTTTGGTCTCGATCTAAAAAAAAACCGAAAGTAACTAGCCATATTCTTTGTACGTAGTCGATAATTTAAACATAAGTAATCAAGGATTACAAAGCTCACCTCAAGGAATGTTATTTTTAAAGTAAGGCAAAATCTCACACCAAATATGCAATAATCTGGTAGTGTGCATTGTTGCAACCACTATTGAAATAATTATTTCAATATGGAATGCATTTTTTTCCTTGAGACTATTCATTGCCGAAGTTAGATATTTTGCAGATTGCAAGTCCTGAATTCATCAATCACTGTCAATTGAAGTACATGTATATCTAGGGGTGTTCTTTACACCCCAAAAAGCTACAGCGACTTGAGGTCAATTTATTGAAAAAAATAATGTTGATAATGTTGATGTTTCAACACATTAAAAAAAGATCCCTTGTGTTAAATTCTATAAATATTTTTTGCAGATCGCAGAGGAATATGGCTGTTTTCCTGGCCGCATGAACGTGAATGGAGTTTGTACACCGATCATCCATTTTCCAAACCACATTACCTACGATTTACATATTCTATGCTCTCTCAATGTTACGGCCACCATAAACAGCACAAAACGCGTCTTATTCAAAGTAAGATCGTCAATCATTGCAATTTTAATAAATTCAACTCAGAACAGTGACAGGAGAGTCAGAAACATTTATTTTTTACCTAAAGCACCTGTCTGGATTTTTACTCGAGATAGATTATTTATCTACGAGCTGCAGGTCTCCCTACATTATTCTTTGATGTTTATAAATCGGTTCGATAGGGACGCTGCTGAGCGGAAACTCTTGAAGACCCCTCAAATGTTGAAAGTGGAGCATACTATTAAAGGACCGCACCAGATCTCCTTTGTTTTAAAAGGGATAGATTTCTGTAATATAAGCAAAACGCTAACTACTCCGAATTTTATACTAGAAAATGATTATAATTCATTTAAGAAGCATAACCAACATGCGATTTCCAGCCGTCCCGAAAGTAGTGTCATCGTAAATAGACTGCTGACTTGTCGGCATCGTATGATTAATGTAAATGATGTGGAATTTGACAAGAGAAATCACCGTATAATTTTAAAGAATTCACAGGAAGTATTTTATCTTGGAGAGTACGTGCTTGATTATAATAATAGAGCTGGAGTCTGCGCAGAAACCTTGACTGAAGCTTCTCTTAATAAAGAAGCTTACAGGGAGACATTGGACACTCTGACAACTGTGCTTAACACTATCAGTATCTTGTCGCTGGTCCTTCTGTTCGTTCTTTACATGCTAATCCCCGACCTGAGGACACTGCCTGGAATGAATCTAATGAGCACCACCTTCTCCCTTTTCTCCATGCAGCTTACATACACAGTAGCCAATACTTTGCAGAAGGCAACCGTGTCCTGTAAGCTAGTTGGCTTTTTATTGCATTATTTTTGGTTGTGTCTCTGTTGTTGCCTTTTCATATGCTGCTTGCAAATGTTCAAAATGTTCAGCAGTTTTAAATCTCTCAGTGCCATAACATATACAAATAGTAAGCAACAACGTAATTTATTTATTCGATATGTTACATTCTGTTATTTAGTTCCTTTAACTGTGGTGGTCACAAACGCAGTTCAAATGGTAATATGGGGTATGGCACTAAAGTTTGTTTTGTTGAACATTTCATCCAAAACTTGGTCACCTTCGTCGTTCCACTTCTGGTGACCTGTATAATTAATACTGTCTTGTTCATCATCACTGTAATTAGCATCAAGAAGACAAAGAATATTCAAAAATTCCCTCAAGAGCCTTACTCTGATATGGTTATTTTCGTGAAGCTGTTTTTCCTGACTGGAGGTGTATGGGTACTGCAGGTTATAGACAGTATCTTGCATATTTCGTATTTCTCCTTTGTTGTAACAATTCTGACATCATCTCAAGGATTTTTCATTTTCTTGAGTTTTGCCACCTCTCAACGAATTCTGAAATACATCAAGGTAAGGAAACAACAATGAAGGGAAAAAAAGGTCTTATAAAGCGTACAGTCGGAGACAAATGCGGCTTATAAAGGGTGCCATATTTTCTCCAATCACTTTTCTTTCTAAGACCCCCTAGACCGCGCGATTCAGAAATGAATTTTGTTTTTCTCCAATACATGATTCGGACATGGTTGAAATCGTGTTCTCTTAATCATGGACTTATCATGATGATCCCATCAAAGAATCGTTGCAATCGTGTTGATCGTAGAAAGTTTTTTGAAATGATAATTTTTTTGATTAATTAATTTATAATCGTGATCAGTGCACCAGATCACATTCCATCTAATCGCATATCAAATACGATGATTGGGATTTATTATGCGCAAGGCAAACACCATGTGCATGCATGTGGAGATGTGTTGCGATGTCCCACATTAAAATTGAAATTAATGATCTTGTCGTCTTAACTGTTTAATGGAAACCTTGACTGTTTAATGGAAACCTTGATTCCAGAACAAAAATACATTAATCATTACTTTTTTTCTTCCGTATACGTAATACTTCATTTTCTTTGAACATTTGTCCTGCAGAAATATGGCAGGTACCCCATGTTGAAATGAACTAGATTAACTCAATATGTACGCCTTCATATGAAACAATTTTCTTCAAGTCAAAAAAAAAAAAAAAAAAAAAAAAACAACGACAAACAAACAAACAAACACTTTGAGTTTAGATTCCATTGAAATTTGAATTCCATTCAAATGAATGTTTCGAGGCTTATGCCTGGGTACAATTTATATTGTGAACATATCTCCTTGTCCTGGAGTCAAAACCAAAAGATTACATTAAATCTACTTACTGTTGTAGACTAAATTTATGCTACATCAATGACTTTTTCCCCCTATTCATCACTTGTCATATTATTTTGTATGCATATATTTTCTTAAAAATGTTTTAAATATTGTCGAACTGATTTTTGCATTAAATATATATATGTGACTGTTGTTCTATATTTTACATGTATCAGATGCCTTGGTAAGAAGATCAAATGTCATTTTCTCTCTCTCTCTCTTCATAAACAATACCATTAAACGTAATAAAATTTTAAATCTACTTTAAGGTTTCATTGATACTCTGATAAGAGAGATAACGACATATAATGACACATATATATGTCTATTACTTCTTTATAAATTTGTCAAGTTGAAGTGTCTTTTTTGTCCAATTTTGCCCCTCAAGCTATGCTATAATTGTATTTTACTTTTAAAATACATTTCTTTTGGAAAATCATAAGAGTTAAAGAAACATTTTATATGAGTGAGCGGAGGGTTTATGAACCTTAAATACACTTAAAAGTTGTTAAAATAAAGACTCTGACACTTTCAGTCAAGAAAAACCAAGTTTAAAAAAGACGTACATCCCTAGATGCATCATCCATGCAAGTTTGGTCCAAGTAGGTCTTAAAGTTCCCTGGGCATGGACTTGCTGCAAAAACTTTAATCTGGTCACTCATCTGGAAAATGTAGGTCAGATCCAGCATCAAGCAAGTCTGTTAGTGTCCATCCCTAGATGCATCATCCATGCAAGTTCTGTCCAGGTAGGCTTATAGTTAATTGGAATGGACTGACTCTTAACTGGGACAACAACGCCAGTGGTACAGCATATTAAGTTAATCTCAACTACGTTGAGGTGAGCTAAAAATGTGTCAGTAGTCATACTTTCTCGATCCTCCCTCAACAATATCGACTGCTGTTCTAGAGAAAAAAAATCTCTGTATATAACCATGTAAAACTGAGATCCAGCACATCTGCCAGGTCCATGGTTTGAAAATTTAAAACTTATTCTCATATACGTTTCATCTTTTCTGACCAACTGGTTCTTGAAAAAGAGTTTAATTTCATTTATTTTTCATCTAGAACAATGATAATAATTAAGTTTGAGGTAATGAGGTTTGACTGTACTATACTTTGTCTTTCTTTGATTATCCCCCCCTTCTTCCTTGGAAGAGGATATTGCCTCATAACACAAATATATCTGTGAAAAGTTTGGTTGAAATTGGCACAGTGATTTGGAGAAGTTGAAATGTGTAAGGTTAATAGACATATTGATTGATCTTGCACAAGTGATCAAAGAAGCTCACTGGAGCTTCAAATATATTTAAACAGTACTGAGGAAAATTTTGCTAGAAAATTTATTTACACCAAATGAAACTTTATACAACTGATGAAGAACCCAATATTCATTGCTTTAAATATCAGAGTGCCATCACAACAAATTTTAAATATACAATTTCTAGTGGTAAATCAATGTGATTCCACATTCAAACATTTCACATTCATGCTAAACTTATTGGCTTTCTGCTTAAAAATCAATAATTTTGTTCTAAAATCCCGCAGAAAAACTTTATATTACAAATTGCATTGCTGGGCATTGCAGAACTTTGATTGGGTGTACACAGATATTATGCCTCTTTCTCACTGCCTCATTTCTCGAGATTCATTCATTAACAGTTCACACATTTTCCAATAAATAAAAAATTGACATTATCTAATGTGGCAAGTTGCATTTAACACTTCTGCTCTTTTAACAGCTCTTGATATTCTTTTTTAAAACTAAATACACAAGGTTTTGGACAGTAATATTTTTCCACTTTCAAATAAAAATGTCAGAAATACATTGTACATGTACCTCAAAGGATGCAAAAAGAAATCAATCTACTTATACTACAACTATATGTGTACTAGTATAAACTACCTTGTTCAGTTAAGTCTACATATGATCTAACAATCAAATATTCACCAGGAAAAAAATCATACCAAAATTCTACTGCACATAAATTGTACAGGTACCATTCTTACAAAATATATATATTCAAAAATGAAACATTTATCACCAGCAAATGAAATAATTCTTATCACAGGTTATCTTCAAGATCTACAAAATGGAAAAACATAAACCTGAATAAAACAGAGTGTCATTGTCAGATGTATGAAACATAAAGTATTCATGCATGAAGGCTTTAAATGGTATATGATGAGGTAATACATAAAGCCACAACTCATTACAGAATTAGAAAGACAATCATGTCACAATCAGAGAGGGTGAATTCAACAAGCAAAATACAAACGTAACTACTGAATACAAAAATACATGTAGTTCAATCATAAACTAGTCACATCTATATGAGGATACAAGTTGGAAAAAAGGTTGTTGTATTATAAAATAACAAGTCCCTTTTTTAAGTTACGTAAATAAGTTTTCTGTGATGAATCAAACATAAAATGAGTTGACAGAAATACTGTAACAGTGCACTGTGTTGAAATTGTCCTCCCTGATGTAAGTAAGAAAAAAATCCTTAGAATCCTAGTGGATGTTTCTGTAGAAGCCCTCCATTTGCAACCACATCTTTGGAAATCTTCTCAAGCCCATTGAAATTTTCCTTTTCACCCTTTGTAGCATGGCAAGCCAGTAGGTTTGTGTCAACTCTAGCTTTGGCCTGTTAATAAATGCATATTGAAACTCTAAAAATTGTGTGACATTGAATATATTTATTTAAATATCTTTGGATATATGGGTTAACATGGCTTGATGAATACATTTTTTTGTTTCAAAAATATATAAAAATGTACCTCATTACAGAATACTTTGGTAATAGTTGCCTCATGGTCAGCTGAACTGTGTCCTTCTTTGAGTGACCTTGAGGCTCTTGAAAGGACAGAAACCATGCCATAGATATCAATGGCTGAGTCTGCAACTCTCTTGAGTAGGAACTGCTGGTCTGAAATGTACATCAGAATTCAATCAAGCTTGCTAGTTCCCCAAGATACTTAAAGTTGTTCAAATGTAATACACACACACCCTCCCCCAAACCTAAGCCTGTGGGCAAATTCAAATGAGCTCTTCCAAAGAATCTTACACTGCCAATTGGTTTGTTCGTGTTCTTTATGAATAACCTTGGTGCAGGGTCATAATACAACCTCTGGTCATGGGCGACCACTTTATAAGTATGAGCTTCTACAATCTCGAATTTCCATATTATGGCTCAGTCAAGACTTCCAGAGAATGAATCTCTTTTACCTCTATGGTTTAAATGCACTGATTCAGTCATGACCTATCCTCTAGCCATAACCAACTTTTATGTACATGTATATTTATTTCAAAATAAATAAATATATCTTACTGGTGATATTTTTGCCATGGGTCATAAGAAGTTGTTCTACAGTAGATCCAAAATCACCAATAGCAGCAAAAGTCTGAAATATAATTGAGAGTAACACAACTTTTCAGACATCAAATTGTGTGTAAACCTTAACAAATTTCTATTATAGAATGCTAAATTAACTTGTTACCTGGTCAGCAGAGTTCATTAGTGAAGGATGGATAAGAGCTTTAGCTCCATTATCATCAGCTTTTGACCTGCAAAGTTTATATTCATTTTTTTAATATTCAATTTCTAACTACAGTATGAGAAATCCAACCCTATTTATAAATATTCTTAATCATAATTCACTTTATGATTCTAGGTAGGAATATGTTTCTTACTTGAGTACTTTTTTGCTGCCATACTCCAAGAACATTCCAATGTTACCTAAGGGGTTGGACATGGCTTTCTTCAGTTCTTTGAGGTAGTTTCCAGCATACTATAAAAAATATCTTTTGGTGTACATTGTTTTAAGATACAGGATTCAATAATTACTGTGAATGGTAATGTCAAACAAATCAATTTTTTTTTTGGGGGGGGGGGGGTTCATGGAGTACAAAATGATCTTATATAGTTTTTATACCTGACTTCCAGTTAGAGCAATGAAAAGTCTGAGAATGTCGTTGGTTCCTTCAAAAATTCTGAAAATTCTTAAATCTCTCATCACTCTCTCCAAGCCGCAATCCTACAAGGAAGAAAACCCAGATAATTGTTCATGATATTTTACTTTCAATAACCATGTAATTATGCGAAAGTACTTCAACATTAAATACAGAAATATTCAAACCATATTTTTGTACAAACCTTCATATATCCCATTCCTCCCAAAATTTGGATTGCCTCATCAGCACAAAACCATGCAGCTTCCTGTTAATTAAATCAGTGTGTCACATAAATATGTACAGTTGAATCTGATAATATAAAAACATTTTCATTCCCTTACCTACAAAAATATTGTAGAATAAGAATATTGTACATGTACTTCAATAATATAAAACTATCAATCCATACTGAAGCGTAAATCTTGCTGATTGCAGCCTCTATCTGGAATTCTGTGGAGCCTTGGTCCATATTGGCAGAGAGCATGTAAGCCATGGACTCGGTGACGTACTGCATTATCACCATACGGCCAATCTTCTCCTGTATCGCCCCATAGTTACTGATTAGATCACCAAACTGTTTCCTCTGAGAAGCATGTTCAACCTGCAGAGAAATTAATGCAATTATCTATGAAATCTTTTTTTTCAGTGTGTATGTATTAAAATAAGTGGCAAAAATCAAAACAAAGCATCAACAATCTTAAATAAAAATAACAAGTTTAACCTTCATTATATATTGTAATCCAACCTTTATTTGCATACGAGAATATTCGCGAGTTCCTTGACCTTTTCTAATCATTAAGGTTTTCTCCTGCGAACTTTTTATTTCATTGTCTATTTATTAAAAACAATTTCTCAGTTGCAAAAATTAGTTGTCATGGATAGATTTTACACTGACAAATCACAAATAATAGTTGGTTTACAGTACACTACTACATGTAATAATGTACTTACAGCTTTCTTGATACAGGATGACATGGTGCCTGACAGAGCTGCAGCCATACCAAATCTTCCATTGTTCAGAATATTCATGGCAACCTTGAATCCATCTCCAACCCCTGTGAATAAGAAATCTTGTCAACACAAGGGACACAACTCTCACAATAAAAAATCAAGAACATTATGAAATATTGTTCTAAAGATTTTTTATAACAAGTCATTTAAATGGTACACAGCTTATATATTAAAATAACATTTTTTTTTTTTTTTTACATTTTAAGAATATTAAAATATTTTACCTCCAAGAAGATTTTCTACAGGAACCTTGCAATCCTCAAAGTAAACCTCAGCTGTGTTGGAGGCTTTAATTCCCATCTTTTTCTCGGGAGGCCCACTGTTACAGAATAAACCCATTTAATGTCAGTGACATATCTAGGCAATGGTTCTTTTTATCAATTATAACAGATTTTCAGACGATATAATATCTTTGCAGTTTTATTTCAGTGTTTTGTGTCATTTTGTAAAGTACAATTAAAAGAGAAAGAAGCACATAGAATATATTCTCATACTTGGAAACACCTCCAAAAGACCTCTCCACAATGAAGGCAGAGACTTTCTCCTTTGTTGCTCCAGTCTTCTCATCCTTAACAGGTGTCTGTAAGCAATGAAGGAGAAAAATAAACTTATATTGGTAAACATCATTCTAGCTTATCTGCATGATTTGAATATTTTTATTTTTATCCAGGCAAAAAACACACAAACCTTAGCAAATACAGTAAAGATTTCTGCAAGTCCTCCATTACTGATCCAAATTTTACTGCCATTCAGGATGTAATGTTTGCCATCAGGGGAAAGAACTGCCTTGGTTTTGATGGACTGTAATTATAAGATAGATGTCTAATAGATACATATGTACTCCTGCATAGATAGAAGAAACGATATGCTTCATATGTAAATTGAAATTCAGTCTTTAAAATACATATATTTTTCATTTTAAACAATTTATTGAGTCTGTATTAATGGAGTTTAACAAAGAGCTTACACCAGCATCCGAGCCACTGCTTGGTTCTGTCAAACAAAAAGCAGCCATGTTTTTACCACATGCTAGGTCAGGGAGATACTTGTCTTTCTGTTCTTGTGTTCCAAACAGAATGATTCCTTTGAAACCTATAGACTGCAATGTAATAAAGACAGTAAAAGAAACATAACCTATTAAATGGCAAAAAGTAAGTTTATAATGTGACTCCTGAAATAATTTCCTACAGCCTTTCATGATTTATCTCCAAACCATTCATGATACAAACCTGATGAGCACCCAATGTGATTCCAACACCAAGATCATGTGACCCAACAATTTCCACCAAACGAGCATACTGGGTGTTAGTCAGGCCAAGACCACCTGTTGAAAGAAAAAATGTAAACATCTTCAAGTTGTCTAATTCTGTATGATTATACATGCTACTAAATAAAGTTTATTAATGTTTTGACACAATTTTGAAATACATGTAATTCAAACAGTAAGTTTTCCTTTAAAAATCATCTAAACAGATATAATGAATTTTGTGTTTGTGATATTGAGAGTATATATTTCCTTCATTTTACTGTAATATAATTAAAGTTATAAACATTGTATATCTTCTTATTCTTTGTTATACTTAGTCTGTATCACTATTGCGTATTATTATGCTTCCTGTCAGTTTGTCTCTATATAAATAATCAATACCCAACCATTTTCGCATAGTGTTCTAAGGATTTATATAACATATGCATACTATGCTGAAATAGTGCATGGCTTCTTTTTCTGAAGAAAATCCGATAGTGCTCACGCCGGGGATCGAACTGACGACCCCGAGATTGTCAGTCCAACGCGCTACCGATTACGCCACAGACGCCATTATCTAAACCACTGTATTAAAATATATATAAACCTAGTTTCAAATATTTTACACTTCAAGAAAAACAAGAGGCCCAGGGGCCACATCACTCACCTGAGCACTCTGGCTAGGAAAAAGCAGAAATCAGTTCAGTCTTGAAAAGTTTAAATATAAAACTGGTTCAGGGGGGGGGGGAGGGTCATGATTGGTACAAATTTCAATCTACATTACCTGATGATGCTTCCATTTAAATATGACTAATCATGGCTTTGCTGTTCTTGAAAAGAAGATTTTTAAAGATGTTCCCAATATATTCCTATGTAAAACTTTGATCACCCATTGTGGCCCCACCCTACCCCTGGGGGTCATGTCATGATTTGAACAAATTTGAATCTACACTACCTGAGGATGCTTCCATATAAATATGACCCATCATGGCTTTGCTGTTCTTGAGAAGAAGATTTTTTTAAAGATTTTTCCTACGTATTCCTATGTAAAACTTTGACCCCCCATTGTGGTCCCACCCTACCCCCGGGGGTCATGATTTGAACAAACTTGAATCTACACTACCTGAGGATGCTTCCATATAAGTTTCATATTTTCAAGCACAGTGGTTTTAGAAGATTTTTAAATGATGCCATTAATTTTTCATGAATTCATAATTATCTCCCCTTGGAAGAAGGAGTGGCCCTTCATTTGAACAAACTTGATTTCCCTTTACCCAAGGATACTTTGTGGCAAGTTTGGTTGAAATTGGCTCAGTGGTTCTTGAGAAGAAGATGAAAATGTGAAAAGTTTACAATGACAACATCGCCGACGATGACAACGACGACAGACAAGGGACAAATTTCAATCAGAAAAGACACTTGAGCCTTCGGCTCAGGTGAGCTAAATATAAACAAAATAATATTTCTAAAATAGTTTCTTGCAATTTTTTCCCCTTCACTCAACTAATATTCTCTGAAACTATCTGTACATGGAACATTCAAAATTAAAGAAAAAAGATTATGACGTACATATGTAGCACAACGTGGCGTCATAATAGGGGTGTACTAACATGAATGTAAGAGGTGATGAAACATTGGAAATGGAGAAAATATTGTCGTTTTTATACAACAGTCAACATAATAATAATAATAATAGTGTTGAACTTTGCATGCACTATGCCTAAATAGTAGTCAGGGTTTAATTGACACATAGTGCACTCGCCTCTGGCTCGTGCACCATGTGTCAAACCCTGACTTCTATTTAGGCATAGTGCATGCAAAGTACAACACTATTATATAAATGTTTGAGTGACATTTTTTTACCGTTATCAACAGGCACTTGCAGACCAAAAGCTCCCATCTCCTTTAATCCCTCCATAACAGGCTCTTCCACTTTCTCCAGGCTGTCATTTTTCTGAGGATCATTAACCTCCTATAAATAATGGAAGCATTTCTCTTTATCATCACAATTATAAGAAAACAAAACATTCGTTTCATTATCAAAATTTGAAACTTGAAATAGGATCTAAATCAGATGTTAATAGAGAGACTAATTCATCATGTAATACTTCAAAGAACTTGGCACATGGATCCACAAGCATCTTCAAGGTTTCACTTTGTTCATTATCCAACACTACAAACAATGGCAACTTTACATGTACATATATGTTTCACAACTAGAAAAGTACATACCACTTTTTGTTAGTTTTACATTAAAAAATTATCAATATGACATTGGAAATTGATAGATTTTATTTCAATACATTTTACTCATAACATGAACATACCTTCTGGGAAAGGAAAAACTTGGTCTGTTTTTACAATCCCTCTGAAAATGTTCATGGCAAATGACTTTGACTCCTAAAATAAAAAAAAACATAGTCTATAAAAAAGAGCTTAAAATATCTGAATACTTAGATCATATGGTCAACTTACATAAAGATAAATATGTATTTAACACACATGTCTATGTTTTCAATAATACAATTTTTCAGAGCAGCACTTTATATGGTAAAAAAAAAGATATGCCATATGAAGTAGCGAACAACAAGCATACATGTTAGGGTAGATCTATATCTATACTTGACACTAAATGTTTAAAAAAATTGTTTTTATATACTAATTAAGATAGACATATATCAAAGTAATGGATAGACATGAAAAATAAATGCTAACATGGTAATTCTTTCCAATTTCTTCTCAACAGTATACAACTCCTACCATCAATTACTGACATATGAAAATGTACAAGTCCTCATTTTTTTCTTTCAATAATCATTAATCTTTAAATGCTCAAACAGGACTTTCAAAAAGATTAGCACAGGTGGTATTTTTACAAAAAAATAATAGGAGGTACCTTGTGGAAGTGATTTTAATCAAATATGTTATCATTTTTCTCCAACAAATAATTTTGGAGGTAAATGTACAATCATGATTTCAGCCAGGTAAAAGTATCAGGTGCAATCAGATTTTGAAAGGCCTGCTCAAACTTTAATTCACAAAACAGAGTATAAACATTTTATTAAATCATATAATCATTCTTTTTGTGTGAATTACTATACATTTGTAAATATGTGCACTTATTTCCTCTTGACTATCATATTGAAATATAACACAAAACTTTGGTCCCCGTTTATGGTGTTTCATTGATTCATAAAGATGTATATAGAGAATAAACTTACAATCTAACTCTCAAATGGACAGTTAAACATAATATAAGACATCAATAATGTCACACTTTGCCTCTTTTTCAATTCGAAATTCCCAATTACAAGGGTAAAAGACCCTGTACCAAAAAGGGTCAATTAAGCTCTGTGGAGGCAAAAATTATAGCATATTTGGAAAGGTCACGGGTAATGTACAAAAGAAAAAATAACAATCTTTTCTTATTCAAAAAATATGACTAAGGTTAAAGTTTCTGTTATATGCACAGAGACTGACAGACAGACAGATAAGATTTAATCCCCCCCCCCTCCCTTCAAGAAAGTGGGAGACCAAAAAAAAAAAAAATCACCTTTTCCAAATTTTTCTATACATTTGTAGTTTGAGTGTATTTACAATGTTGAACATGTTAAAAATAATAATTAAACACCCAAAACCTATTGTCCCTAACATTTACATTGTTTTAGATCAAAAACATATCACCTGTTAATCTAACAAACTACAGAAAAGGAATTGGACCTTGATTGACAGATTCAACCTATCTTCATAAACTGGGTATCAAAAATTAGTTTATAATAACTAAGTGTATCAAACACTTTCATCTACCCTTTGAAAATATGATATAAAATATTTCAATGATTGAAATGCATGTAATTAAACCTTATTAAATTTGTCACTGTCAAATTGTATCCCCAAACCTCCTCTTGCAAGCTATAAGAAAATGACTTTCAAACTTTTGCATTGGAGTTGATAGCCATACTCTTTATACTTATTACACTCATCTACAACAATGTTGTTTGTATTATTTCTTTACCATCTCATCATGTCTCTGTTAACCTAAATTTTTTCTATCTTTCCCATTTTTACTAAATTTTCCTTTAAACTTATATCCTTCTCTGAGCCATAAGGCTCATAAAACCTCTGCTTATACCTAAATATTGTGCTAAGTAAATGAGAGTCATTGACTCCCTCAAGGTTGGGACACTAATCCATCACAGGTTAATCCCAAGCATAAGTTGGTACCCATTGCAGCTGAGTGTACCAATACAATGCAGATAAAGTGCCCTGTCTAAGGACATAACACACAACATCTAGTGCCCACACTTGGGCTTGAATCATTCAGCAACCTTTGGGTTACTGGCCAAACACCTATGACCAGCTATATTCTCCTTAATCGTTGATAAGGGATGGACAAAATCATTATCAAATATTTTACATGTCATGAAAACTCCAACAAATACGAAAAAATACCACATATTGGTTCTACAATTACTTTCAGTTGTGATGTCAGTATAGTACTTCTTTAACTGTTTAATGCCATTTTCAAATCTGCATGTGTACATACGTACTATACATAACAGACATAAAAACCCAAAGAAACTTTACCTGGGCTTTGCTTGGTGAAGCCTTTTGCTCATCTGTCTTCTTCTGAGCTGCTGCTGAACTTGCATATCTAATAAAACAAACATAACTTTCAGTAAAATATATGTTGCATAATTGGATATTTTTATTAGCTTTTGTCTATTATTAAAAATTGTATATTGAAAACCCATTTAGTATAAAAGTTTGATATCAAACTCTCCTAATCAAACAAGAAAAAATCTTATATTGCTTCAATCTTAATAGCTGTATAATGTAAATTTATGGTAATGTGCAATTTCGAGTCCAAAGTCCAGAAGATGTCAAACTACGTTTTTAGCCAAATCATTGTTAAATCAAATCAAATGGGTTTCCAAGAGTTACTCTTATTACCTGAAGTTTCCAACAATTGATCTTCTACCAAGAGAAGAAAAAAATGCAGAAGTTCTCAACATTTTCCCGTCTAGCGTTCACTTCAACAACACTTGGCTAGCAGTAGTCAATGTTTACGAAAGAGGTACATCAACGTCCGGTTCGTAGGACAATGAACGCGCATGCGTTATATTGAAAAGGGGGGGGGGGTAAATGAAAAATGAAAAAGCTATCCCTGCATCAAAAATGTAATAATAATAATAATAATAATAATAATAATAATAATAAAGAAATAAAAACAAACATAGTGAACAATTATTTTAATATTATAATCGGGATCGGTATACAAATCAAAATAAGTGCAAAAATGGCTGGAAGTTCATCGGCACCATCGTCGACTGTTGAAAGATTGAAGCAACTCGAGGCGGTTGAGGGTGATATAGTCAATGCTATTCAGAGTGCAGGTGCAATAAAAATTAATGTTTAATGCGAATTCGTGGAACCTTTTCAGAGAGAAAAATATTTCAGAGAAAATTCGGGAAAACAGTCACATTTCACTTTCAGTAGCTCTAGGTACTGCATATATACATACAGTTATAATTGTTACCATATTTTTATTTGTTATATTTCATCAATTTATATTCAGGATCTGCTCTTCAAGAATTATCGAAAGACAAACCAGTGATGAAAAATGTTGAATCCCACACCACCACCTTTATTAAAACTCTGGTAGATGTAGAAAAGAAGTTAACAGGACATATCAACTACCTTACACAAGTTTCTACGGGTAAATTTACTTCAATTTTAGTAAACAAATAGCAGAGAGAGGCTGATGGCACGGGAATGTGTGGGCAATCACATGAGGGAGCAAGAGCATGAGTGTAAACAAATTGTATGAAGGGAATTTTAAAAAAAATGCAAGCAAATGAAGTTGAGACTTGAGAGGGCATAGGATGGTATCAAGTCAACTCCTAACCTGACTGACTTGTAAACTCAAACCCAGCTGGTCAATTCATAACTAGACAGCAAAGTCAACTTGTAACTAAATGGCAAAGTCAACTCATAACCAAGACTTGGGTTACAAGTTTCACACTAGGTTTTTGAGGGGAGACCTGAGACCCCCTTTCAAAATATGTGTTCTGAGTTTTGATTTTTCATGTATTTTGAATTACCACATTTACACTGTATATTTCAGTGTAAAACCAATTTTTATACAAAATTATTGTGAGTCAATTTTTGCCCAATTTCAATGATTTTTTCACTTAATTATGGAGAGTTGTTCAAGTTTTCTTGTCTTAAGACCGCGGAACATTAACTGGCAAAATTGGAAATATGCAGCTTACGTCATTTCCATCTGTCGCAGTCAAACACTTGATGATATACAATGAAGTGGGCGGGTACAATTTGACACGGACGTCTGCGAAAACATTGGATTGAAATTGCAATTCGAAATTCATTTTCAATCCACCTGAGCTATTTTTCGCAAAGTTATAATGTATGATCGAAACGACAAATAATTTCAGTTCCCAAATGCGTATAGTTTCAAATTAATGTATAACAATTTCCTATTTTGAGGACAAACAAAAGTTATAGGAGATATAGCTATATGTATATTCTTTTAGGGGAAGACCATTTGATTCCAGAAGTTGGGGGGGGGGGGGGGGGCTGGCAAATTTTGTCGAATCAGATTATTTATGGTTATGTCTCACATGAAAGAATATATTAAATATTTGTAGGATGACAAAAGACATTATTTATTTTCTTCTTCACTGAAAAAAATTTGAAATTCAATTTCAATCCATCTGAGCTGTTTTCAAACCTTAAGTGTGAATGTATGATTCAAAAGACAAATAAATTCAATTCCCAAATACATATTGTTTGAAATTCATAATTATTTATTTGAGTTTTTTAGCCTATAATTTTAAGGACACGTCAAAGTCCTAGAATACAGAGATTATTTTTTCAAGGGATGGCCATTTGATTCTAGAAGGCGGGGGGGGGGGGGGGGGGGGGGGGGGGGGGAGTCAAAAATTGTCGAGTCGGATCATGCCTTTACATGAAGAATATATTAATTTCTAGGATGACAAGAGCTTTTATTTTTTAGTTTTTTCTTCTCTGAAAAATGTTTGACAAACAAAAACAGGGAGGGGTTGTCCAAACTAAAATAAAACATTCTTATTCATTTCAAAGATCGTTCAGCCCCCCCCCCTTCCAACCCCCCAACACACACATACCAAACAGAAATCAAATATTTGTCCCTTTATATTTCTTTAAAAACATGGGATAGAAAATTCTGATTTATATATATTTCAAATTATTTGTCTTCTGTGTCAATCAGTAACACCGTGCGTTCTAGCCTAGCTGAGGTGGATTGAAAATGAATTTCGAATTGCAATTTCAATCCAATGTTTTCGCAGACGTCCATGCCGAATTGTACCCGCCCATTTCATTGTCTATCATTAAATGTTTTGACTGTAACAGACGAAAATGACATAAGCTGCATATTTCCAATTTTGCCAGTTAATGTTCCGCGGTCTTAAGCTACTAAAATGATACACTAATCATTCAGGATAATTTATGAAATCATCAAGGCAAAGTTTTTAACCTCAAATTACAATGATTTATTAACAAATTTGAGTCCTTATATTTCAATATCACAATGACCTGTGATGTGACACCTACTGATGAAATTATTTTGCAATTTTGTATATTATGAAGAAACTAATAGAAATTTGGCATTTAATGTAGCAATGGTCATAATAAATGAGCCACCAATAATACAATATTTTTTTTTTCAAAGAAAAGTATAGTGAAAGAATAAAATTATGATTCATTTACTGCCAGGCACTGTATATCCCTGCAGAAATGTCACACCATGGTGAACAATGGGAGATGATTATAATTCTGCATTCTTCAAGTTTTTCTGTTATTCAGCATCTTCATACAAATACGAAATCTATATATCTGTGATAATGTCTACATATTATAAGTGAAATATTATCTAGTTAAATGAAGGAGTTAGCTCATAATTAGACTCTTGGTTACAAGTCAACTTTTTCCTTTAGGTTACAAGTTGATATATGGAGTTCAAGTTGACTTGGGTAGGGTAGGGTGGGGCCACTATGGGTGATCAAAGTTGGGAATATATAGGAAAAATATTTAGAATTCTTTTTCTCAAGAACAGCAAAGTCTTGATTAATCATATTTATATGGAAGCATCTACAGATAGTGTAGTTTCAAGGTTTTTTAAACCATGACTGCTTGTGGTCGGGTAAGGCCACTATGGACAATCAACTCACCTGAAATTTGGCCGAGGACTAGCCAAGTCAAAAAAATATATCCAGAAGAATCCATACTTTGCAAGTCCTGCTACATATGAGTGCGAATTTTGAGAGCATGCAGTTGATAATGATTGATGATAAAGTTTTGCTTAAGAATACATAGGAAAAATCTTTAAAATTCTTCTTCTCAAGAACAGCAAAGTCATGAATAGTCATATTTATATGGAAGCATTCTCAGGTATTGTAGATTCAAGTTTGCTCAAGTCACCCAGGGGGTAGGGTTGGTCCATGATGGGCACTCAGAGTTTTAAATAGGAATACATAGGAAAAAAATGTCTTCTAGGGAACAGCAAAGCCTTGATTAGTCACATTTATATGGAAGCATTCTCAGGTATTGTAGTTTCAAGTTTGTTCAAATCATGACCCATGGGGAGTAGGGTGGGGCCACTCTGGATGATCAAAGGTTAACCTAGGAAAAAATCTTTAAATTTTACTTCTCAAGAACAGCAAAGCCATGATTAGTCATATTTATATGGAAGCATTCTCAGATAGTATAGATTCAAGTTTGTTCAAATCATGACCCCTGGGGATAGGGTGGAGCCACTCTGAGCAATCAAAATAACCTTCAATCATCTTCACTAGCCAATGGTTTCTGATCCCCTACTCTCCAGAATAGTGAACCAGAAACCCTTGGCTAGCAAAGACGACTTTCAATTAATTTGCAAGCATCCTCATGTCGTGTTTCTGTTCATATTGTGACCTCACTGAAGGTGAACAGGTTAAAATGATCTTTTACAGGGATTTATAGAAAAAATATTTTCAAAAAAATCTTCAGCAGAACACAAAGTGATTAAATTGAATGAAATAAAAGTAGATCAATGTGATAAGTTTTATTGCTTCTATATTACAATAATTCTTGTTATAGCCAAAGAAAATATTTTGGTGTTATGTTTTGAAATTGATTCTGGGTTCTTTTATTCAAGTACCATGCATACATGTAATAATATTATTACAATTCATTAAACAGGACAGCCTCATGAAGGTTCTTCATACGCCCCACAAAAAGATCTATTACTGGCCTACCATCGCATTGACCACATCAGAAGTCGTCTTAACGATCTGGAGAGAGTGACAGCAGAACCTGTGGTTCATCGACAGCAACTCACACAGTCGGACTTGTTACAGATGAGTGAACAACACTGACAGGGTCTAGACTTTATAGTATTTGACCCTTTATGTTGTATTGCAGCAATGCAAGTTGCATCTGTAAATAAGTGCAATTTACTGTAATACAGAGTATCTAACATGTATTCATATGGCAGCTAAATCATTGTTAAAAAATTCAGAAGATGGAAAATTTTGAGAAATGGAAAGTAAATGCCTAGGTATAGGATGGACTCCTAGATCCCAAGTTGTAAAAGAATCATGTTTTGTGCATGGAATCCACTAATCTGTTTTTGCATGTGATTATGGATTTGTTAACAACATCTATAGGATAATGTGCATTATAGTAATAAACATTTTAGGTAATTAAATGTACTCTTTAGGATAGTGAAGCAGTGTTCAAGTGTACATAAATATTAATTATTATGATGTTAATTTTACATGTACGTTATTTTCATTAAAAGAAGAAAAAAATGGTTGTATGCACGTTTTTAAAGGCTCTTTGTATAATGACTTAAAAATGTAGATCAGAACAACGTGCTTCAGAAGCTACCCCTGATCTATAAAATCTGGACAAGTAACTGTGTTGAAATACACTAACAGTCAAACCTTGTTATCTCAAACTCCATGGGACCGAGAAAAACTTTGAGATATCCAAGGATTCAAGATATCAAGGGTAAAATACTAAAGGAATAAGTGGTAAGGACTTCCAAGTTACTTTGACATATCCATTATATTCGAGATACCGAAGTTCAACTGTATTTGGAGCAGGTTCATCCCCAAGTAACTCTAAGCCCTATAGTGAGTTAACTTCATTGATGATGATGTTATGGATTCACCTACATTTTACCTGACTTGCCTCATATGCTGGATCTGACCTACATATTTTGAATGAGTGACCAGATTAAAGTATTTGGAGCAGGTCCATTTCCAAGTAACTTTAAGTAACTTATGGTGACTTAACTTGCGTGGATGATGCATCTAGTGATGAATTAACCAGACTCGCTTCTAATGCTGGATCTGACATAAATTTTCTGGACAAGTGAATAGGTTTAAGTTTTTGGAGTAGGTCCATTCCCAAGTAACTACATGTATTAGCTCTATGGTGACTTAACTTGCATGGATGATATATATAGGGGTGTACACTAACAGGCATGCATGGAATTGAGTGTAATTAAGAAATAAGTGTATGGAGCACTCAATTACATAAGATAAACTTTCTTTGATGATTCAGGAAGGGTACGTGCATGCAAATGCATTCATCGTAATCCAACTCTGTCATTTTGACTTGAGTACTGATATTTGTTTACAAATGTATGTATTGTTTGTTTCAAAGCATTTCATACAAAACAATAAGGTTAACAATCGTACGCATGTGTGTGCAAAATTACTTTTGTTCTGCACATCTACACAACATGCCTCTTGTCCCTTAAAAGGTTTCGTCTCCATGGGTAGTTCCTGAAAACACTTGTGGGAAAAAAGTAGAGGAGAAGAAATAAGAAATGAAGTAAAAACAATATGCTTCCAAACCTTGATTTTAGGAACATAAACATCTGAGCAAGATGTTTGCACATGGGTACACAAGAATGAATATTTTTAAAAAAAATTTGGGTGGCCTAAAACTACCTAATTATTATTGTTGGAAAAACATTTTCATATGAAATCTTGGAGCTGGGGTTTGGGAGGTCATAAGTGTGAAGTAAGGAAGGAATAATTGGAGAATTCCATTAAGAAGGGTCCACCAAACTCCTGCATTATTAGGCCTTCTGTCAGAGCTAAAGGCGTAAAGAGCTAATACTATGGCCAATTGTGTGGCGTGTATCAACTTTTTGAATATGGGCCATATCTCAAGAATACCTTGTCCAATTTTTGTAAAATTTGTCAGAGTGTCCTTGGCCCAAGGGCTCTCATTTATACTAAAAGTAGGGATGTGACCCTCAAACAAAGGGAGATAAAAACAAAAGCAGTGGTTGCTAAACAACCTTCTAATCAAGAACCACCAAACTTACGCACAAGGATGAGGATATGTTGAAGATTAAAAATGTTCAATGCATCACCCTGGGGCATAGGGCATGGTCTCAAGGTCGCTTCAAAGTTGACCTAAAATTATGTTTTGTTAAACATTGATATTTTGATTACCATAAGGACTAGGATCATCAAATCTTGTCAGTTGATGCATCTTTAGATTTTTTGACGACTCAAAAGTAGGTCATGTTGACCTACTATTTGAAATTTGCAGGTATTCATTTTCAATTTAGTTTTGATGTATATCTCGGATACTTTGAAGCCTATGATCATCAAAACTTGTCCATTTATGCATCATGGGGCCTTAATAGTTGCATCTCAATATTTAGGGTGATAAGAGGCATAAAATATTAAACTTTATTAGTTGACTATTTTGGGTCCTTGTGTCATCCAAAAAATAGGTCACTGCATCCTATTTCTTGATTTCCATGGATATATCTGAATTTTCAAAATAATCTTAAATCAAACATTGTCAGTTGAGGCACCTTCGGTTCTCAGGGTGTGTTAACCAAAAAGTATGTCACAGTGTAAATGAAAAAGAAGGACACAGTGACCTACTTTCGGAATTTCACGGCTTTATCTAAATATATAAGATACTACGAGGCTTAGAAGTGATACCTGGGTTGTACAATTTATCAGAAGAGTGATTCTGGCCCTTGGACCACAGTTATGACCCCAAGATTCAAATTGTAAGACCAGTTGATGCTGCTTCATAAAACTGCATTTAGGGAATAACTGTCTTCTCATTTGTTATTTGTATCCAATAATGCCGATTTAACACTTGCAAACTGAGTTTTACCAGCCACACATAAGGGGAGCCAGTAAAAGGTATGTTTGCAACCCTTAAATCAACATTAACGGTCACAAATAACAAATGGAAAGATAGTTATTCCCATTCTAATGCAATTTATGCATCTTGTTTGATGTGTAAGTCTCATTTTGTTGAGTTTTGTTTCATGAAATATGTCGCGAAGCATTGTTTTTGTGTCGTTCTATTATGATGTCATAGTCAAAAGCTTTCACTCTCATTAAAGCTTATTTAACTGCATATTCCAATCATCGGCAAATTCAATAAACAAAATGCATTTTACAAAACAATTGCATTAGAACTGCAGTTTTATACTCTTAAAAAGCCAAACACAAATATTACAATCAAAGCTCCTTTAATATCCAACACCAAAACATTGGACCCTCCATTTAAAGCTCTCACGAGTGCTCAATATAATGACCTGTTTCAGATTAGAAACCCTTTTTTGATGTAAAATGTCTGAAACTCAAATGGCCATAATTATATTTTTTAGAAGCTCATTATACATGCACATGTTAAATGGCATTTAATTCATAATGTATATGTATTACAAAGCACTTACAATACACACTTTATACGTTAAAAAGACATATGTTTGCTTGACAAAATTGCTTGGTATTATTACAAATATTTTTTCTTGAAAAGTCAGTCATCAAAGTTTTAATGTGACCAATACATACTGTTTCATGAAAAAAACACACTATCGTGACAGTCACTGATGTAGAGTCATGTAAAAAAAAAACCCACTTAACAAAGAAAACAAAGCATTAATAAAAAAACAATGCTGGGTTTCTATAAGGTAGATATTATGTGACATCTTGTATAGCAGAACAGTTCAGATCGCTTCTTCATACAGTAAATGTAGACCTGGAACAGATACATGTAAGCATTCACAAACATACATATATTTTATATAAAAATTATGCTAACATTCTCAAATTATACATCTAACTAAAATGTACAGGGACCATGCAGAAGGTAAGATATATACACACCATAAAAATAATAATGAGTTTCACAAGAAATCATTTCATATTTATGATACAATGATGATATCGACAGATACTTTGCAATAATAATATAAAAAAAAATGGCACAATTTTATATAATAAAAAAAAAAACCCAAGCACTATTAATGCTAATGTTTATTGATGTGAAAGCATTTTTTTAATGCTTAATAGCATCTCTCCATGTTTCCATGGCATATATTATATACGTGGACATCAGTTTTAAATTTATTTCCTCATCACAAAAGTCATGGCACTAAATGTTTTAATGTATATGTATAAAAAATACATGTGTGTATATGCTTCACAAAGAAGATTAAATAATCAGTATAAACAAATTATCTTTTTTTAAGAAAACACAAACAAAAATACATGTATGTATTTGTCTAAATTAAAATAATTCAAAAGGTCAAACTATTTCCAAGTAAAGTTCATGTATTTTCATAACATATATGCAATTACATGTAGGTGATTTATTTACAAGACAAGTCCTACTCAATGTGGGATTACTTTATAATGATGGACTAGCATAGGTTGTGTTCCAAATTTGAACTCTTTCATTAAAATACAAAGTTTAATGAATTTTTGAAGAACTATACAATGTATAATAATTTCTTTACCATTGATATTTATTATGTGGCACCCCAAGTAAATGAGTGTTAATTGTCAACCCAGATTGATTCCCATCTTGTGTGTTTACTTATAATAATTATCTGGTACAAGTTCAGTAAAAAACCAAGTAAAAGAAAATGTCGAAAATTTATAAGCCTTATGGGTATTATTTATATTCTTCAATAGTGTGAATGTACAATAAAGAGCTTGGTGACTTTGCATTTTTTTAATCTGAGTTATGCTGGAACTTTTTAAAAACTGACAAAGCTATAAGAACAAAAAGTCTCAATGGAAATATTTCTAACAGATAAATCCATTAAAGCACCTTCTACAAAATGTTTACTAGAAATACCTTATGTCTACTCGGCAAGACATTTTAGAGTGTGTACCACAAGTCAGTTTATATGATATACAAAACATAATATACTTTGTACAACAATTTGTTTTTTATACTGTGAGTAAAAATAATTTTATGTATTGTACAAGTTAAGTTAACATCTACTGTACCAGGTAAATGCTAGTCAATCAGCTTAAAAATAAAATGAGAAAAGATAAATACAACAAGCATTCTGAGAGTATTGCATTAGCAATACTAGTCCCCTACCGGCAAGTGTAATCTGGTTCCGTTCCCGTTTAAAATTGAAAATGCCATAATTCCGTCAAAAATTAATGAAGCGGGACGAAATGCAAACTTGATCTTTAACTAATCAAGGTAAAGCCACATACCAAAAATCAGCTGAATATCTACAAGCGTTTAGAAGAAAATTGCGGAAAACCCGTAAAAATTGAAAAGGCCGTAATTCCGTCAAAAATCAATGAAGCGGAACGAAATGCAAACTTGATCTGTAACTCATCAAGATACACTCACATACCAAAAATCAGCTCAATATCTGCAAGCGTTTAGGAAAAAAGTGCGGAAAACCAAGTGGGACAGACTGACAGACAGACAGAGGGACAGACAGACAGACAGACGGACAGACAGACAGACGGACGGACAGACTCAGAGGAAACCTATAGTCCCCTCCGGTTTCACCGGTAGGGGACTAAAAAACCAAAAAAATAAAGCACATCATACCATGTTTCTCACAACAGCTACTAAAAAGCACTAAGCATGCATTTACAAATTTACTGACCTTTATGTACACTTCTAAATTCCCAAAAATTTATAACATTGAAAAAAACAAAAATGTGTCTAAATTCCTGAATTCATTTGAAAAACTTAATATAAAAGAGAGATTAACATAAGGAAAATAACTATCACTAAAAATTAAAAGAGGTAAAACTACAAGTGTATGAAAGTACAACACAGGGACTTTTTACTAACCTACATGTACAATAACGTATCCCAAATCCCATGTAAAGCACATGTAAATATTAACAGATATGACAGAATGCTTGTATCCAGAAGTGACAGATGGCACAAATTGATATAATTCTACTTTTTATACATTTCTTCAATATCTTCCTTAAAATGTTCTTCAAAACTTTTGCGTTTTACTTTGAAGGAATCGGTGACCAGTCCTGACTCGGGCGTCCAGGGCTCAGGGCAGATTTTCAATTTCTTAGGTAGGGCAAATCTCTCCAGGTCTCCTGTAATACAAATAATATAAATACAGTGAATCTTGTCTATTCTGGGTGTTGTGTAATCCAAAATCTTGTCTAAAATGGTGTAAACTTTAAGTCCCTTGCAGTAAATTCAATAGTATACACTTATTTCATGACTACAAGGGGAACAGTCAAACTGTTGTCCCGAGGTAATGAGGAAGACCTGGGAAACTGTTGCCTAATCCGGCCAATTTCTTTGGAAACAGTGGTGTGATGTCACTGTAGCTCAAGTTTCTCTGTGTATATTTCTAGGCATGAGTATGTACGAAAATGGCATTCAAATCAATTTCACAGTTAGCTTAGGAAAACACAGCAAATGTAAATACACCTTGTATATTGAAATAATCAATTTTAGCTTCATGACACGCATTTTACCTTTTAATCCACTCTTTGTAAGCTTTTTGATACTTTTGTATTTTACCTTTAATTCCACTCTCTGTAAGCTTTATGATACTTTTGTATTTACCTTTAATTCCACTCTCTGTAAGCTTTATGATACTTTGGTATTTTACCTTTAATTCCACTCTCTGTGAGCTTTATGATACTTTTGTATTTACCTTTAATTCCACTCTCTGTAAGCTTTATGATACTTGTGTATTTTACCTTTAATTCCACTCTCTGTAAGCTTTATGATACTTTTGTATTTACCTTTAATTCCACTCTCTGTAAGCTTTATGATACTTTTGTATTTACCTTTAATTCCACTCTCTGTAAGCTTTATGATACTTTTGTATTTACCTTTAATTCCACTCTCTGTAAGCTTTATGATACTTTGGTATTTTACCTTTAATTCCACTCTCTGTGAGCTTTATGATACTTTTGTATTTACCTTTAATTCCACTCTCTGTAAGCTTTATGATACTTGTGCATTTTACCTTTAATTCCACTCTCTGTAAGCTTTATGATACTTTTGTATTTTACCTTTAATTCCACTCTCTGTAAGCTTTATGATACTTTTGTATTTACCTTTAATTCCACTCTCTGTAAGCTTTATGATACTTTTGTATTTACCTTTAATTCCACTCTCTGTAAGCTTAATGATACTTGTGCATTTTACCTTTTATTCCACTCTCTGTAAGCTTTATGATACTTGTGTATTTTACCTTTAATTCCACTCTCTGTAAGCTTTATGATACTTTTGTATTTACCTTTAATTCCACTCTCTGTAAGCTTTATGATACTTTTGTATTTACCTTTAATTCCACTCTCTGTAAGCTTTATGATACTTTTGTATTTACCTTTAATTCCACTCTCTGTAAGCTTTATGATACTTTTGTATTTACCTTTAATTCCACTCTCTGTAAGCTTTATGATACTTTTGTATTTACCTTTAATTCCACTCTCTGTAAGCTTTATGATACTTTTGTATTTACCTTTAATTCCACTCTCTGTAAGCTTTATGATACTTTGGTATTTTACCTTTTATTCCACTCTCTGTAAGTTTTTTCAAAACTTCACTCTCCACCTTCTTATCCTTACAGATGTCTTCAAACTCTCCACTGACACCGAGTTTCTCCGCTAAATCCTCTAAATTCTTGTTATTGGGGACAATAAACACCAGTGTAAATTCGTGATTACTGTCAGCATGAACATAAATCTGTTCTACGCCTGGAACCATTTTCAGGACAGTTTCTACTTGACCAACAGCCACATATTCTCCCACCTGAAGTTTCACAAGGTCTTTCTTACGATCTGTCAGGGAAAATAAAAAAAAATATTGTAATGGTCAGATACTTCTCATTTCTCTAAAATTCATAAATTACATGTTTATACAATCTTTTTTGAGGTTTTTATAAAAAGTTTATTTTACATTTCTAAGATGAGGTCAATTTTATAGTCAAATAAATGTACAATACCTGTCATAAGATTTCAATGGGATGTAATTTGCAAAATTTAGACACAAATGAGTAATATGAATTCAAAACATTATTAAAATGTTTTTTTTCTTTTTAAATTTCTTCTTTAACAATATGATTTTACAAAGGATTCAAAGAAATATATACTTCCTGGTCTTATTGACCATCAAAATCCATGTACATGTAAGTCTTAGCCTATAGATCCAACTAAGAATGTAATATATAATAATTATTTTTATCTGATACATACCAATGACCCTAAGACAACCATCAGGGTCCATCTGTCCAATGTCCCCTGAACAGAAATACCAGGTTCCATTAATATCTGTGAAATCCTCCTTTGTCTTCTCTGGCATCTTGTGATAACCTTGAACTATATTACCCCCACCTACCAATATTTCTCCTCGGGGGTGAGGCTTGTCTTTTGAGGTATAGTTTCCTGGAAAATCAAGAATTTTGTTAATAACTGTGGACATACTTTTTCTGCTTGGGATTAATTTACACTCTGTATGCAGTCACAATTTTTCTGTGGAAATTTGTCAGAAACAGTGTACGTAAAAGTGCATTTAGGACATATGATGACAATTCAAGAAATCTGCTTAATTTTCTACCTGGGATTAAATCTCTAGCAAAAATATTGAAAGGAAATATATTCATGCATTACATAGTCAACCTGATGTTTTTCCAGTTCTAATTCTTCATAGGTACAGTATATAAAAATAATAAATAAATAATATATACTCTTAAATGATAAATGATATTGAAAATTAAAGTACTTTAATTAAATAATTAATCTGGTAATTAGCATAATAGTTGACAAAGTTACATTTTAGACAATATCTCTGACAATTAAAAGACTTTTTCCTTAGTTTGAATTTTATTTTTTTTTTTGTCTGTGTGGTGGTATTAAAAAAGAAATTGATGGCTAAATGAAGATTTGAGAGATTCATGTATCTTACAGTAAGTTTGCTGCAGCAAAATAATAAAAGCTTAAGTCAAAGAGATCCAGCAGGACTATTACCTTCAGGCCAATCTCGTAGACGAATTTCACAACATATCAGAGGAGCACCTACTCTTCCAGTGGACAAATCATCAACTTAAAATAAAAACATACATGTATTAATATCATAAGAAGTCATCAAACATTAATATGAAAAATTCACATGTACAATATTCAAAACATCATATACTTTTGAATCACTGATGGAAAACATGGAAATATTTGTTATCAAACTTTCTTGTTTTATTCAAATCTCAAAATAAGTGACTGGTTTGTGAGAACTGCATATTAAGTGAAGAATATTTTCACTCATAATAATTGGTTTACAATGCACCTGAAAACAAGTGCAGATCTTACATAGAATTTTGGCTTTCTTAAAATGAAAAACATAATTGTGTGCAGTAGTAAGATGTAGGCAAAGGAAAAAAAACATGTGCATACTGCTAAAAATAGCTTATCATTAAGTTTTACATACTGTAGTCAAAATTTTTCATTCATTTTTTGAGTAGTGCATTCCATCTTAATCATCGATTAATATTGCAAATTTTAAGGGGATGAAGGGCACATGGTCACATGACTTTGTTAAACTACGTCATAGTCTCCATTTATATAAGTGCAAAACGTGTAAAGCATCAGTTCTTGTAAAAAATTTTGACAATTTTTTTTCTTTAATTACCATTTATATTAAAAAATTAAAAAGTTTAACATTCTTGTAAATATTATTAAATTATGAAAAAAGATTGATCCACTCCTCTGTTTCTCTAAACTGCGCGTCCAACAAGTCGGTGACGTCATACACGATCTGCTAGTACAGCAAGATCATACTCGGTGAATACAAGGGCGGTATTATTATGTATAAACAGGTCATAATCAGTATACGATGAAGTATTTTGAGAAATGGGGAACACAAAAATTATTTTTGCATGGCTGATGACGGAAATCTTATGTAGGTATATCTTATTTCGCTTATTTAGCTTACGTGTGACGTCATAGTTGGTTTTTCCCGTACTCGAGAAATGTAAACATGACAAGTTTTTGTCCTGCTTATGTCGTCTTCAACGATGTCCTGTGCAATATTGAGGTCAGCTTCACCATTCGAAATTTTTACAGTTAATCAATAATTTGAAGGACTTGCATTTCAACGTAAATTTAAAGATATTGAATGATAGGATTTTTTGTAAATTACGTTTTCCGTTGTTTAAGTTGTCTTAAAAAGTTCGTAATTTTCCCCATCCAGATGCAGTGTGATAGATGAAACTTGCCTTTTCGAATTTTAAACCCAATTCATACTCTGAAATATTTTAAAAGATACATGTTCACTTACAAATTTTTATATATGCTTTAAAAATCCAATTATGGACAGAGTAATGAGCCCAGCAACATGGAGAATCAAAACTCCACTTAGATACTGTAGGGCATAATATTTGTCAATCAATATCTCTAAAATAAGGTAAGAAACCTAATGATATAACTGCTTTAAGATATATGGGACATACTTAATAAGAAATATACAAAATATAAAAAAAAATTGAATGACAAGTATTTTTTCAGCTAAAGGTCCTTCTTCCCCTTAAGTCCAAAGCTCAAATACTGGTAGTCCACAAGTTATGGCATGGATATTTCAAAGGATTCTCAAGCTATGACATGAAAATGTTTTCTGTAATTTGACCTTGATTAATGAACTGGGTCAAGGTCAAAAAGTTTGGTGCACTGCATCTCATCTTAATCTCATCTGTCCATGTTCAAAGTTTGAAGTCTGATATTAGAGGGTTCTCAAGTTAACGCCCACAGAAAATTTGGTTGAAGAAGAATATGTAGTAGAAAAGTAACAAAAAGAATAGTCTCCCCTTTGAAGGAGAGGCATAACTATCAACCAAGGGGCTTGTTGATAAAATCAACATGCAGTATATATACTTTCAATCCTGAATCCTTTTGCCATGACATTAAGCACTGTATGTGCTATTTAACTGAATTTACACTTCATCTTACCTTCTTGTATAGTCCCTGCCCCACAGGTTTCTGTCAGGCCGTAACCCTGAAGAACTGGGCAGCAAAAGCAGATGTTCATAAATCTCTGGGTTTTCTCTGACAGTGGGGCACCCCCACTCAGCATCATCCTTACTCTCCCTCCCAGGACTGAATATATCTTGGAGAAAACATATCTGTACAGAAAGCAATAGTAATTATACGTAATATTTAAATCGTGTAGCAAAACTCTAAACTTCATATACTGTATGTGTACTTAAAAAAGCGTGCTTTATATTTTAGCGGCTTTGGCGCAGACAACGATGCGCTAATTCATGAATACTGCAAAGAAATCATTTATAAATACAATATACGGCACAGACATGTATAGCGCTAATTCATTATTTTGCCAACAACTACATACCCAGTGATTGTGCTAAATTTTGAATACGCCATTTTATGTACACGTACAGTATATTTTTGAAAGTTGGTCTACACAGTTCTAAGACAATCGTATTTAATTGCACTTTTAACATCTTACAATATCTCCACATATTAAATCTATGAATAAGATGAAAATTTATCAAATCAGAAATTTGGTGAATTTTTTGTTTGTTTTAAAATTACACTGAATACAAAGTAAGGATATACTTGCTAAACTTCCATCCTCTCAAGGAAAAGTATCGAAATACATGGTACAGTGCATTTATACAGCTATTTATTTTTACAAGATGATATTTCCAAGCACTCCATCCACAAAAATGAAGAAGACAGAGGAGACTTACTTGTCCAGTATAGGTGTGGTGTAACATTAATGAAGAAGACAGAGGATGAGACTTAACTGTTCAGTATAGGTGTGGTGTAACAAAAATGAAGTAGACAGAGACGACTTACTTGTCCAGTATAGGTATGGTGTAACATTAATGAAGAACACAGAGGACACATACTTGTCCCGTATAGGTGTGGTGTAACATTAATGAAGAAGACAGAGGAGACTTACTTGTCCAGTATAGGTGTGGTGTAACATTAATGAAGAAGACAGAGGAGACATACTTGTCCAGTATAGGTGTGGTGTAACATAAATGAAGAAGACAGAGGAGACATACTTGTCCAGTATAGGTATGGTGTAACATTAATGAAGAAGACAAAGGAGACATACTTGTCCAGTATAGGTGTGATGTAACATAAATAAAGTAGACAGAGGAGACTTACTTGTCCAGTAGAGGTGTGGTGTATCCCTTCTCTATCCTCTTTTTCTTGTAGTCATAGCCCCACTCAAACAAAGCTTTACTAAAAGATCCTCCCATGTTCACCTTCTCCCACACCCCTTTGTACAATCTGTCCATTATCATCTGAAAGCATTTCCACTCAAAATGGTTTATGACTATAAATTTAACATTAAAAAAAATCTGTTTTATTAGAATTAATTGATATACAGGCAAACCTTGTTATCTCAAACTCTATGGGACCAAGAAAAAACTTCGAGATATCAGAGGATTTGAGATATGGAGGGTAAATTACTTAAAGAATAAGAGTTGGGACTTCCAAATCACTTCAACATATCCATGGTATTCAACATATCAGTGTTCGACAGTTCGAGATACAGAAGTTCTACTGTATTAGAAAAAATATGTCCTTGCAATACTGTTTTTTAAAATTTTTGTGTATAAATTACATCTTCTGTATTATTTTTTTTATCTTTAACCATATGAGAACTGTACATTCTATATATATACAACTGCTATATCAATATTTTTTATCTTTAACCATTTGACAAAATTGTACATTCTACTGTAAATCACCTTTATTTGCAAGAACTTTATTTTTTGCGTAATTAGGCAAGACCATGTGCTAGCAAAAATTTCATTCTCATGTATATTTTTATCATTAAGGATTATATTCAACAATAACCAGATTTCATGAAAATTTTCTCTCACTTATAAACACCATATGACTTTCTCACAAAAATAAGGTGTCACCAAAATTTGATGATCTATAGTTTATAAATACAATTACTGAATTCTTGGATCACTCACCGGGACAGCTGCCATTAGGGTAGGTTTCAGTACAGAAAGGTCACCCTTACTGCCTTTCTTTATTTTACTGGACTAGATATGAAAAGAAAATTCAAAGTCAAACATAAAGAAGTAAATAAAAGACTAAAATCATCTAATACATGTATTATTATTGGTGCTTAAAATTTAAATTTATGGATCAGTCTGCCAAAATGTTTAGTACTTACATTATCTGTTAGGGTCAAAGGTGAGGAAAACCCAATGCAGGCACCATGAGCCAGACAGCTTATCTCTACAAGAAATTTTAGTTTTATATGACACACTAGGCAATCTCAAGAAAATCTCATAAAAATTCTTCATTTTTTCATCCTTCAAAAGAAATAAGTTTCCAATGAAATACAGAATTCTTACCTGCACTTAGTTCTAAGACATGAGCCAAAGGGAGATAACCAACATATGTATCTTTAGGTCTGAAATGTTATTTTTGAACATATAGTCAGTACACATTTGAAAACAATTATTACCAGAATTATATATAATGATATCTAATATTTCATCTTTAAGTTATCAATTTAAGTATGCACCCTATTTAACATAATATATCCTGATACCTACCCAAGACCTACAATCTTCTGACACTGTCCTGCCATTCCAGACATGAGGTTTCTATGTGATATTAGCACACCTGAAAAAAACCTCAAAAACTTGACCCAGTTATAAACTACATAAAGGTATTGAAGTTTGTATTTGTCACTCTGGTACATACCATGGAAATAAATTTTTCTGAAGAGTAAAGTGCTTCTATTAGAGATTCAATCAAGTTATTGACATTCAGATTTCTTTTTTATATTCCTGCAATTTCTAGGGGGTACATTAGATACACTTGTTTGTTTGTCTGTGTGTCTGCCTAGGCTAGTTATCTATGCAATCGTATCTGGTCCATAACTTTGTAACTACATGAGAAACATATTGCCTATAACCTGAATGCAGGCCATAACTTCAACAAAGTGATATAGATAAGTTCAAGATCACTAGCAAAAATGTGTCTACTAGGTCACTCGTTCATCCTTGATTATTTTAAACTGGACAATAACTAGCATCGAATAATTGTGTCTTAACAAATACAAACAGACTAATGGTTAACATACATTCTACTACTCCAAATTAAAGCTCCTCTAATCCTTGACAGATAAAGCTAATAAATGAGCAGCAAAAATCAATATGTAGAATGTCATTCCAATATTCTCCACCAGAAATAGGCTCTTTTCCAGGTTACAGTTGCAAAGCCAATAATACATATCTTCTGTTGATTCTGTGCAGCTTCTGAATTCTGTATACATTTACCCATTCATTTAAATTGAATTTTCTATTTCTTTCTTTTTGTATATAGGACACTCCATTCTCATGCTTAAGACAATGAAAGTGATAGTGAGTTTGACAATGGACGCTTAATGTTTAGTACCTATACTTATTACAGTGGTTTTAACAATTAAATGCACATGAAAAACAACTCAGCTGCAAAGTACAATATTTATACATGTATGTTTATATGTATATGCTTAATATTTAGATGTGATGTACTGTATATACGTTTTGCATTTTTTTTTTCAAAACAGGAAGTTCTAAAAGTACAAATGTAATCTGCCCTATACCTTTGGGAACACCTGTAGATCCACTGGTGTACATAATTACAGCTAGATCATCTGGTTTGGGCTTTGTCACAGGAACACGTACTATAAAAATAATGAACATAACAAGACTTCATAACACAGTTGTGTCTTTTAGTTAACCAGAAACCAAGATTACATGGACATCTAATTATATCTCCTACAGTATCTCAAGCAATGTATAAATAATACACAGAAATTTGTTTTTCGTGAAAAGGACTGATGTTATAATCTGACATTAACTTTAATATCCATAGTGTTGCCCTTAATGGATTAGAGACATTTAGAGAGTATAAGTTTAGAAGAAGGAACTTCCTGTTATTCTGAAAATTATTCTAACAATAGAATTTCCTCGTACAGTTATCAATCTGAGCTCCTACGACTTCCACCTCCTCCATAGACTTCAGCTGTATAGACTCTGGGAAATCCGACTTTTTGGGGGATTTCCCATCACCTATATATATAATGTGGGTGACATTAGGCATCTTCTGTATGATATCCTACAAAATGAACCAAGAAGACTTTTAATAAAACCTTCATTGCAGACTGCATAAAAAACAATAAACAGTCATTAATATTCTACGGTGAATTTCCATTGATTGTTTAACATTTAGTGATCTTGTAGTCAGTTAAATGAGACTGAGGAGTTAAACATGAACTTAGATTAGAAATCATGGTCATGCCAATAAATCTAAAGAACAGTTTCATGTATTGGTGACTTTGAATTTTTTCTAAATGCCATGGAGACAGGTTTATGTATACCTATATAATGGGTTATTTTAGTGGGGTGCTAATTTTGGCTTATTTTAGCATTTTGGTAGTAGCCCGCTAAAATTTTAATCCCTAAAATAATCAATATTCTTCCTAGTTTTCTATTGTAACGTGTAAAACCATGTGTCGGCTAAAATAAATTACGCCAAAATTATTAGCATACCTTTGCTATACAATATATCATGAGTCATGGACATGTCAAAACTTCAAGGGTTCCCTTATTTCACTTAGATAAGTCAGACTTACACAATAACTTGACAAGTTTTATCCTAATCTTGTCCATATGGCTCCGAGTCAGATTCAGAGAACATTCACTTCTCATCAGTATGATCATAGATGTTTCTCCAGTAGGAAGATATGACACAGATATTAGAATCATACACTTTTCCTCAAAGTAACCTTGACATGATTTTAATGACCTTGACACCCTCTGGTAAAAAATTATTGTACAAATTATGAACTTCTGACATTTCTCTGTTATGAATTAAGATACAGTACCTGATTATTTCAAATTGAATTTGTATGTGTGTGTGTTTGTGTGTGTGCTAAGGAAGGGGATAAATGAAGAATTATTCCAGAAAAAAATGCTTTATTATTCATATGCATTAAATTTGTTATGCAAGATACAATACAAGCAGAAGACTTACTTTGAGTTTAGATGTTAGTGCTGTGCTGACGATGATATGGGAAACTTCAGATTCGTTTACGCCGTGTAGCACAGCTTCCTTCCCAAGTGTGGAATACAGCGTAACAACTGTAATATATAGATCCATAGTTTAACATGAACATTTTCTAACAGCTGTATATGTATGAAGTTTGCCTTCGCTAAGAAGGGCAAAGAAATGGATCTATGCTTTGTGTTTCAAAGCTTGTAACTCTATTTCTTTCTGCCTGCCAGAAAAATCTTTTTACACTTGCCATCAGTTATAGTCACATGATCTAATTAAACTCCTCGATCAGTCACAAATTTGAATACATTATTATGTTTTTAACTGAAAGGTTTTGCAATTGTAATTATTGACTTAATTTCTCAAATATTAATATGTTTTACAAACAATGCTTGTTTTACCTTATTTTATCAAATCTTAATCATGATTCTTACTTAAGAAAATAAAATTAGTGATGTAATATTTGTATTACCATGATTACAGACATTCTAATTCACATGTAAAATTAATTCACTTAATGAAATACATTCTTCACCACTCTCAGTACATGATATGTATTTACAATAATTTCAGACTAATTGCATGATTTATGTACAACAAACCTGGAAAATTAAACTTGAAGCAGGCCTGAGCTGCGATCATCCACTCTGCTTTTGTTTCACAGAATATCAAGATGTTTTTCTTTGGTTTCTGTCCCATGGCCAGCAAACCACTTCCAAAATGGGTCACTCTAGTGAACATTTCTTCAAAAGTGATCCATCTATACTCTCCCATTATTACCTGTAAAAAGGTATTACTGATTGTATTATCCACTACAAGCTAAAATCCTAACCTCATAAAAGGTACCCACAACAATCTAAAATCCTAACCCTATAAAATGTACCCCCTATATGCTAAAATCTTAAACCTACATTGATACATACAACATGCTAAAATCCTAATGCATATGTATTCACTGCAAGCAAAAATCCCAGCCCCTTGAAAATTAGCACCCCACTACAAGCTAAAATCCTAAACAATATCTTCTACATGCTAAAATCTTTAATGTGTAAAAGGTATCCACTACATGCTGAAATCCTAAACCTATACCCACTACATGCTAAAATCTTAAACCTATACCCACTATATGCTAAAATCATAATCCCATACCTTTTACACGCAAAAAGGTTATGACATACCCTCAGCTCACAAATAATCTTTGCTTGAAGTATCAACTCTCAATATTTATAAAACAATTACATGTGCTTTGCATGGACACAAATTTGGGAAAAAATGCCTATGTCCTTGAACTTATGGGATTGACCTTGGGTCAAGGTCATGCTATTTTCAGGACATACTAGCAATATTTTTGTGAAGTATAAATTCCCAAAGTTTCTCCATAAGAAACTTACGGACTGACATGAATTGTAGTTTTCTCCCAGTGACCCTGAACTTGCTCAAATGATCTTGGGTTAAGACTATGACACACCCTTAGGTCATAAATTTTTTTTGTGTGTCAAGTATCAACTTCCAATTTTTTTCCAGTGAGAGTTATATACAAGATTTTTTTTCTGTCAGTGACCTTGAACTTTCTCAGATGACCTTTAGTCAAGGTCATGACAGATCTACAGGTCATAAACAATCTTCATGCTAAGTATGAACTTTAAATATTTCTCCTTCACACATGGTCCAGACAGGAATTCTACATTTTTCTGAAAGTGACCTTGAACTTGACTAGATGACCTTGGATTAAGTTCTTGACAAACTTTTATTTGATAAACAATCTTTTAATACAGTATGGTTTTCAATGTTTCTCCATTAGAAAGTTATGGACTGGACACAAAGAGCAAAGTTCACCTTTTTTGGCCCTGTGAATTTCTTAACATTAGGACTGCTAAATTTTAGTTGACAATGAATTAAATATCACTTGGACCCTTGGTGACTACATATCTATTAAAATGAATGAAGTAATTTTCTCGCTAGTCAATGCATTATGACACCGTAAATTGCATCATTAAGCCCATATGCTGAAAATTTCCTCAAAAATGGGGAAAAATTTAGTTGTTTTTCAATATTTCATATAGAACACAAATTTTGATTCAAAATCTGCAATTATATAATGATTGAACTGTTTCTGCAGATTATGAAACACTTTATTTTTTTTTATCAAAGGATGTGCTCATATTTTAATTCTTTGTTGGTGATTCTCAAATATCGGTACATGTTTTCTACAAAATTCAAGAACAATGCAATTTCGAGTCCGTTTTCTAAGACCTAGACTCTCAAAGGAAACTTTGTTATAGGAATTAAAAGCATCAAGTCTCTACATTATACTCATGTTTGAAATGGGACATAGAGTATTAGTCTATAAATTGGTATATTGCAGGGCCATTTTATGCAAAAAGTATACCTTGCTCTTTGGTATTTTTTTCTACCCCTGACCTTGACTTTAGAATGACCCTGGGTCAAGCTCAGGACACCCTCATGTAATAAGCAACCTTTGTGTCAAGTAAAACTTCAAATGTATCTCCATTACAGAGCTCTGGACACAAATTTGACAGTTACAGCTATGTATAGTCCTAAACCTACCTGCATGTACCACAACCTATGAAAATACCTACTACATGTTAAAATCCTGTAAATCCAAACCTACTCATCCTAAATCTTAAGCCAGTAAAAGGCATCATGCATTTCATGCTAAAATCTTAAGTTGAACCTGTTTGATCATGCAAATTCAGAAACTCATTACAGTGTTATCAATCCCCCCCCCCCCCCCCCCCCCCACTTTTCCACATACACACCAACCACAATCCTGCAAACAGATTTCTTAGAGTAGCAAGACATGTTCTGTAGTAATTGTTAAATGTCTTGTATGTTCCCATTCTTAATAGAAACAGGAATGGGTAATATGACCATTCACTTCATCATCAACAAACTGTATAAAGACTTAAGTTACACATACATAGTAACAATGTACACACAGGAGTGAAAATCAAACAAAATTCATATGCAGCTCTTATGTTTTGTTATGATTATCTCGGGATTCAGACAAGTGTTTTAAAAACTTCCTCATTTACACTAAATATTTCATGTAAGAGCACTGTACCTTCTTAAATATCTTGCCATTGGACTGCATCTCGTCTTCCTCGCTGAGTAGATCCCTTGTTCCTAGACATCTGTAGGAGCTGTACATCTGTACGGAACGGATCAGGAGATCGTCCACTGTAATACAGTCCTCAAACAGCGTGGTGGCCAGTTTCTGGTTCCCTCCCACTTCTACAGCTCGGTATGGCCCCGCTGGGTCTCCCGATATTGACTTACTCTGAATAAAATTTTTATTCATTATTGGGGTACAGTGTCTGTATTGTTTAAACTGAGATTCCTGATCATTGAAACATAATTTGAATTTAAACTTGAATAACTGTAGGGAGAGGGCATAATAAGTTTTTAGAACTTGTGCCCGATCCCTTTGTAATTAGAAATAACAAACCATAATTTAAGTTTAAAGTTAAATCTCATCATAATAATTTTTTACCAAGATAATTAAAACTGGTATACCTCTCATTAATAATATTTACATGATGATGGTTAAAACACATATACTATCTTTTAGACTTGTAAATACACATATACCCCTAGCATGAAAAATGTGCATATTAGTGAGATACCAAAAAAAATTCTTGAAAGTATTCATGCTATTGAACATGTGGGTCTAAATATTTATCTGATTATATAGTGACACCATTTCAAAGCAGAATATAAAACATATTTTTATAAACACTCAAATAAGTGACACAATTACAAGTTTACATAATAAACAAACCTTTATGCGTTGAGAGTTTTCCATCTTCTTGTATGGTTTACAAAGGAAGTAGTATGGCACAAACACAACCAGCTCATACACACAGCCTATTAAGTCTAGTAAGCCAATCATCGACTTCTCCAGCAGATTAGCCATTGTATACTCCTTAAATAAGGGAAAGCGAAGGATGAAACAGTTTGTAAGTATGTTACTTTGTATTTTAAATGAAAATTCTGGAAAATAAATTATCTAACTCTTCTTCTTAAAAAAAAGTTGGAACCTCAGTGACAGGAACTTTACGAGATAAAAGATAAGTTATCTATTTTCCTTTAAAGAATTGTCATGAATATAACGAATATAAAATGTATTTCAGAGAAACAATGAAATGAATTAACAATTTCCTCAATTTACAATTTGTTCAATACTTATCACTAACTTTTTACTAGTTGATGGTTATTTAAGCTTTGATATTAATCATTAACTTCACACTAATCGACAGATTATAAGCTTTGATATTTACCACTAACTTTACTATAGTTGACAGACATAAGGATTCACAAGTAAGGTACAAAGCTTACTTTACACGAAAATAACTTCATATAGGACTTAATAATGAGGTCAAGGTCAAGAGCAGATACAGAAAACAGCATTGATAGCTATTGTGTACTTGGAAAGACACATTCCTTTATATCACAGCACGGAAACGAAACTTGACTTAATATAGAACAACCATCTTATATTTAGTTATTTGTTTACAACCTTATTATACAAACATCATAAAACAAAATTGTCCTAACAAGTCTTTATACCCCTAAAGAGAGGATTTACCTTAAAATAGCTTATAAAAGAACTCTGCCATTTTGCAACATAATTATCATGATTATAACTGTCAATTCCTGTGGCTTAAATCTTGTTGAAATGTAAAGGTTGAAAGTACTAAGTTACATTTCTGTTTATGAGCAACCCTTGTATTAAATATGAAAATATGATCTCTATCAGGCCTAGCGGCCATGTGACCTTGACCTTATGCATTCAACCATGGAATACAGACCTAAAGGCCATGATCAAACTCTTTCTTCAATATGACCTCCTGATGCTAATCCAACACAAAGTTTTGACATTTCAAATTTTACATTTCTGTGACTTTTAAAATTTGACACTACTGATCAGCCCTGTGACCTTGACCTAGTCTAAATGACTTTTGTTCAGGATCATAACATATAACCATAACCCATCCTCAGGCCAAATATGATCCATTACAAAAAACATGGTTGTTACATACTCTCTGTGTTACTAACACCTTTTGTGGGAAATATAATCTGATGTTTCCCTGCTTCAGTTATAGCAGCCAAGGGCAGAATTTTTACACTTCTGAAATCTTGACCTTGACTTTGTCTAGATTACCCAAAGTTAGGGTCAGGACATATCATAGAGATAAAAACAACATTTTTATCATGTATAAGCTCAATTTTAATCTTTATTTCAAAATTTGAGGCTTGAACAATAATTTAATATTTTTGAACCATGTGACCTTAATCTTGTCTTTGGTATAAGGTGAAAAAAAAACACCCTCATCACACGCTATTCCTTTTATCAAGTGAAAGTCTACTATCTACCAAAGTTTCTTTTATAGTTGTGTACAGACAAGATTTTGTAACAGAAGTTGCGTTCATTACAACGAAACATTACACATACAATTTCTTAAAAAAAAAAAATTGACAAATCAATCTGAAAATACTAGGTGCAAAAGATTCCCAAAAGATCCAATGATCTCCTATTATAGAGGCACAGTTGGAAGAGTATTCAAATTGCCTAATTTTTCCAAATCTGATCTAAAGTCCATACGGCACAACCTTTAGATTTAGTCATTCTTTTGTTTTCCAGATTAGTTTTGTTGCTGCTTACTGTAAACCAACTTTTATTCGCATGCGAAAAATATTTGTGAGTTTCAAGACCTACTTTAACTCGGGAATATTAATTGCGCGAACCAATTATTTTGCTTTGTATTTATAGAGAATGTTTCCTCAGTCGCAAAATTAATCGTCATGGATTGATTTCAAACTGACGAATCATAAATAAATGATGATGCGAATAATATTTGGTTTACATTATTTATAATAGAAATAAACAGACAAAACCTTGAAAGTAGTGACCTTGACCTGACCTTAAAAATTAGTATACATCCTCTAGCTCACTGATTGTCCATTGAATTACAATTAAAAAAGATTGGAGAAAAAAATCAGAGAGTCTTTTCTCCATATTAAAGTGCACAGGCTGACATACAGAATCAGTATTATTATTCCATATTTGACAAGTGGGAGATAAGAATAATCTACTACATGTAGTAACCTCAGACATCCAATCAAAATTGACAAAACACTCTTTTTTAAAGATTCATCACTTCCTATACATTGTAAACAAAGAACATTGCATGCAGAAGTAATAACTGCTAGGTAATATCAATAGAAGTTACCTTTCAGAAGATCAGCCTGAGTAAAGTTTTAAATATCACAACTATAAATCCCTCACTTCCTTCCAATGGTGCCGTCTTAGAAAACATTGAACACAACTATCAATTCCATGTAGCTTTGTTTATTCAATGCTCAGTGGTACAAAGTCCTGAAATTATAGGAATTAAAAACATGTCAAAATGTCATTTACCAGTCTTTCATAATAATTCCAATCCAATGTAGTCACTAAGTTCACTGACCTTGATAAGAACTGAAATTTAAGTCTGAAAGTGTTTGACCTGAAATACAGGTCAACAGATTTTACTGACAATGTTAACAACCTTATCAGTTATGTGTGGCAAATATATAGGTGAAATAACCTGAATGGTCGATAAACTTATGTAAGTTTTCAATAAACATTGTAAAATTCGGTTAAATACATGTATTGACATGTATGTGAGAGACAACTCGTATACTTCACCTCATTTTGTCTCTAAGAAACCATGAACAATTTTGGGGCATATGTTACTCTGACATATCAATTTAAACATATGTACTAATGTGCATGTAGTAATCATAATACTGTATAGCGGGTTTCTTTAGCGAGTGTAAAATTTGGCGTTTTGCTTGCTCAAAGGTATGCCATAATTTTGGTGGAACTGCAATGTTACCAGTGATGTTACATGCACATGTAAAGGTCTGGGCCATGGATTCGGGAACTTAGTTGTAGAGCACCTGACTAATGGTCCCTTACATTTTCCTCTTTCCTGTTACAGATTTGGTGCTGTTGACCACCCCTGAATTTGCAAGTGAAAGTCCTGCTATGGACAAATAAGAACTTATGTTGTGTCTCTCTGAGGGTGAAGACAACTTCCCTCCTTAAGTTGTCTTCTCTTTTCAGCATGGGGAAATATTTTGATAAGAAAAAGTTATCTATGCTAAATCATGCCATAAGAATTTATTTTCCTTTTTCTGATTTACTGGCAAACAATCTGAATCAAATAATATGGCACTTTATTGAATGGAAATTGATGAGTTTCTCCATCAAACTTTGGGCAATGTTCTTAACTTGAGCCTTAGAAAGGATGATCCAGTTAATAGGGTGAAAGTCCAGATCACTCTTATTTTTTAGGACAAGTACTTATTAGTCAAGAAATTACATTTTCTTTCCTCTCTGAATTTGAATCTTCTCTTCAATTGAAATGTCCAATGCCCAAAAATAGACTTTACACAGATGATTTTTATATGAACCTCTTAAGGTCAAATAGGGGAATATGGATATATTAAACTGCCATTTTCTAAATAGTACACTGTAGCTCATTTTTATTTATTTGGTGTACACTAAGCTTATATATAAGAACACTAGCATGTAGCTCCTAAGATACAGCTCTGACATTGATATAAAAGATCTGTGGTGACAAAGTGTTCATTTTTTAAAATCATTTTTATTATTCCCTGCTGGAAAAATAAAACACAATTAACAGTGATTAATGAAAGAACATATAGTTATAACACAGGAACCCATATTTTTATCAAAAACTTGCAAAAAAAAAACCTCTGGTTGCAAAATTCCACCCTCCTTGTATAAAGGCAGTGACCTCTATGCTATGTATGGAACGACTTTATTTTAACGGTCCCTAGAAAAATGTGCTAAAATATAGTGTCGCTGTAGGCAATTCAATATATATGAGATCATGTGAGCGATCGAAAAATAAAAATTATGAGGTTATTTTGCCTTTTGCTCCAAAATCGAATTCTACACTTAAAAAGATAGTTTAAAACTTCGTTTTTAAATGTATATACAGGTAACTCTTGATGGCTTGAACTTCGATCTCTCGAAGTTCTTGATCGCTCGAAGTGTGTCTCTGGTCCCGAATTTTTCCACTATATAACTAAGCAAATTTACTCTTGATTTCTCGAACTCTTGATCTCTCGAAACCCTTGATCCCTCGAAGTCAAAATGCAGTCCCGCTATGCATATTCTATTAGAATTTACTCTCGATACCTCGAAGTGGCTATGTGTATACAAGATTATATAATTAGCACCTTTACCTGGACATTTAAATGACCCCAGGCAGAAGACGCGGGTCTTCAGGAACGGGATGTTTATTCAGGTGACACTTATGTTGCAAGGTGATAATTGATTTATAATTAATCATATGTTGCCTATATGCTATTAAAATAATTATCATCGACTGTCTTACAATAATTTAGAGACGCGGTGTCATTGAAAAGTAGTTACTGATTAAAAGACAAAGCATTAATTTAATTTTTGTTTCAAGTCAGTATCAAAGTTAAACGAAATATGAAAAAAACCAGAAACAGCCTTAATGTCAATATGACGACTATTGTTGGACAAATACTTAGAGAACTGCATTCAATGATCATTTTTGGAATAGTCAAAGCTATGTACGACGCTGTAAAATGTCATTTTCATGTAACGAATGCGTAGTATGATGTCCGTGTTACAAAGAATCAATAAACATACATGAAATGATGATATACATTATTTGCTTTACTCATTTTAATGAAATATTCATCTGAATTACGATAAAATATCGTTGTTTTATAAAAACCATGTGTAAAAGGTTAGCACTGCATGAAAATAAGTACATCCAGTAAGACTAATTTTAAAACCTGTCAACAAACCCGAAAAATTCCGGACTCTTGAAAACTCGAACTCTTGATCTCTCGAAGTTTTTCCTCGGTCCCGCGGACTTCGAGGTATCGAGAGTTACCTGTAGTTTTTAGCCTTGTTCTCTGAAAAAATTAAAAAATATTGTTTCTTCAGTGAAAAATCAACGAACAGATTGCAAACAAAGTGCATGAGCGCATGCTTAGTGACATTTCTTTTGTACTAACTTAGTCATTTTTTCATGTAAATATAAACCAATGAGATGCCGTTGAAGCTGAACTAAGATTTTGCAAAAAATACAGATGCAATTGAATTTCTTTATTAAGACACTTATAACCCTAATCTCTCAGATGGTAAGCTAGGACTATAACCCAAAGTCGAGGACTAATCCTAATCTCTTGAATGGATGCAAGACTAACCCTTCAATCAGTTGAATACTTGAGCATTTAAGAACTAACCCTAATCTCTCAGGTGAGTGCATTAGTCTCTAACCCTACCCAATCGAGTAGTGTGCAAGACTTACCCTTATCAGTAACTGTTGAGTGACATAAATCTTACCTCATAGTGCAATGAGCATGTGGATCTGGGGACCGTTAAAGTCAAGTCTCCTAAGTATATAGGTCCCTGATAAAAGGTAGGGTAAGATTTTTTTCGATCAAGGGCTATATTCGCAACAGTAACAGGAAGGGAGAAATATTGTGACCAGAAATGAATTCAATCCCCCCTCCAAACTCTAGACAGGTATTTTACCAACTGAGCCATCTGGCCACTGGCTATCAAATCTATCAAACTGCCATACAACTTACTGATGAAATTCCACATGCCTGTGGTTCTAACCAGACCAGACATGAATTCAACCCCCCCCTCCCCCACCTCCAAACTCTACACAGGTATATATTTTACCAACTGAGCCATCTGGCCACTGGCTATCAAATCTATCCGACTGCCATATTACTGATGAAATTCCACATGCCTGTGGTTCTAACCATAAATTTATAGAGTAAGGTTGATCTCTTCAGTGGGATAAAATTTTATGAAACAATTTTTTATATGCAACTGTATAGAAAAAATAAACATTTATTTACATGTAAAAATACAAACTTTCAATTATGATGATCAATTACTGGAAATACGCAGTATTTCCATCGATTAACCTTCAACTCATGAATGCAATGGCAGTAGGCAAAAATAGCCAAAGTTTCAATAGCAGATCACGGGCGATACTGTGATGTCATATATAGAAATTTACTATCAATTCATGGTTAAAAATCATCTATGCCAAAACATACTAACCGGAAAGATAACTCAGTGAATGAATGACACACCGACACTCTGACTCTTGCTCGTGACTTGTGGTCGGGATCAATTCAGCTATTTCCATATTTATTGTATTTTGATCCCGACATAGAGCACAACAACTTTGATTATTCCAACCACAGACGTTTAGTTTTTTGTAACAAAATTTTTAACCCGATTCTGGGGAGGAGGTACTCCATGTTACTTGGAGTTATATACCTTGTTTTAATATCTTAATATGGGTTTAAAACAAGAGGCCTAAGAGCCGCATCGCTCACATGAGCACTGTGGCTAGGAAAAAACAAACAAAACTGAATATGTTCAGTATTGAAAAGCTTAAATGCATGAGTGGTTTCGACCTATCTCTAAAAGAGGGGGGAGGCGGTGATTTGAACAAAACTGAATCGACACTAAGGATGCTTACATATTTCTTTGACCAGTTGTGGGTTTATTTCGTACAAGTTGGAACTTTCATTGTGGCCCCACCTTATCCCCGGGGGGGGGGGGGGGGTCATGATTTGAACAAACTTGAGTCAACACTATCTGAGGATGCTTCCATTTAAATATGACCAATCATGACTTTGCTGTTCTTGAGAAGAAGATTTTTCCTACATATTCCTATGTAAAAATTTGATCGTCCATAGTGGCCCCACCTTACCCCCCGGGGTCATGATTTGAACAAACTTGAATCTACACCAACTAAGAATGTTTCCATATAAATTTGACCAATCATGGCTTTGCTGTTCTTGAGAAGAAGATTTTAAAAAAAAATTCCTATATACTCCTATGTAAAACCTTGATCGTCCATTGTGGCCCCACCCTACCCCCGTGGGTAATGATTTGAACAAACTTGAATCTACACCAACTAAGGATGCTTTCACAAAATATGACCAGTCATGGCCTTTCTGTTCTTGAGAAGAAGACTTTTGAAGATTTTTCCTATATACTCCTATGTAAAAATTTGATCGTCCATCGTGGCCCCATCCTATCCCCCATTGTCATGATTTGAACAAACTTGAATCTACACCACCTGAGGATGCTGCAATATAAATATGACCAATCATGGCTTTACTGTTCTTGAGGAGAAGATTTTTTAAAGATTTTTTCCTATATATTCCTATGTAAAACTTTGATCGTCCATTGAAGCCCCGCCGTACCCCCGGGGGTCATGATTTGAACAAACTTGAATCTAAACTACCTGAAAATGATTCAACATGATCGAGTTTCATCTTTCCTGGTCCATTGGTTCTTGAGAAGAAGATTTTTAAAAGATGCCATTAATTTTTCACTATTTTGTAATTAACTCCCCTAGGAAGAGAGCGTGGCCCTTCATTTGAACAAACCTGAATTCCCTTCACCTAAGGATACTCTGTGCCAAGTTTGGTTGAAATTGGCCCAGTGGTTCTTGAGAAGAAGATGAAATTGTGACTGAAAAGTTAACGACGACAGACAACGGACAAATTTCGATCAGAAAAGCTCACTTGAGCAGGTGAGCTAAAAATATTACAGAAACAAGTGTCTGTACGTGATTCCAACAAAAATTTACATATATTGTCAATAAATTTAGTTTCTGAAATGTAAAACATTGTTCTTTTTTGTGAATGCAAAGCCTTATAAAGCCGTCACACGTGTGAAAAAAAGATTAAGCCTTTAACTGTATTTTATAGGTATTAAATATTATAGATTAAATAATGTCGTTAACCATACTTTTACCCCAGTCCTTAAACTATGGCTTTCGATGCATAAACATATGGTTTACCATACACCTTAAACTTTAGGTCTAGAAGTCATCACATTTATTGTAAAGTTTTGTTATTTGGTTACCAATAACGTCTTTTTCTGGTAACATATCCAAATATGAGAAAGGTTGGTCAGATTTTGTGATATCTTTAATTTCAAGTTCAGTTGGATATATCGAGTCGACATGTAAATGTCGATATTTCTAAATGTCGAGTTGAAGGCCACAACAAGTGTTTTCTTCTCACCACAAACACCACAAAAACAAATATAAAACCGATCTGGCGTACTTACAGCTACAACCAATCTTAAATAATACATTTTGTTTGGAATTCAATCATGATCACACAGAAAAAAAGGGATTGAACTTTCGTCACTGGCCTCAAAATCAACAAGGATCAAGTTAAAGAAAGTTATTACCATAATATAAGATTAATTGCAAAATCTCAAAGAGAACTAAAAGTTCTGGCAAGGTCTTAGACCGTTTCTCTTCAAAATCAATGGGATACTTTTTTAGCCATAAGGAATTATGATATAAAATTTTATTACAAAAGCTATTTAAAGGACTCTGATATCAACCAGAATCTAAGTGTTTCACACAGACAGAAGGACGGACTGTCCAAGGTCAATATCCAACTTTTAGCAGAAGTAGGTGACCAAAAAAATCAGCTAATTCATGTGAGCTTGATGTAAACCGTTCCACAAAAAATAAATGATTGTAAATTTGTTTGTAAAAACTTTTTCGAAAATATTTCTTTGTATAAGGTGAAGGGTATTTATTTACAAACATTAATTACAATTCAGGTTTGACATGAGTAATTAAGGTTGTCGACTGGGGTTTTTATTGTGCTATATTTTGCGCATTATAGTGAAAGCTTATTTCCACTTTATAAGAAATTTTTTCAACGTCTTTTGATGCTTTATCAATTTAACAGAATTGTTGTGCCCCACACTACCCATCTCTTGAAGAGGAGGGCATATTGGTTTGAAATACTGTTGGTTGGATGGTATGTCGGGCGGTATAGACCAAGCGTTGGCTAATCAATAACTTAAGGTATTCCATCCCTAATAACCTCAAATTCAATGAATTTGAATACAGATGTGTACGGGTGGAATACTCAGACATTATTCCCATTTATTACTATTAGCTTGTAAGAATGGAACGTGTCCTAATTTATGACCTTGACCTTTGTTGAAGAGTTATCTCCTTCTTTTTTAAGTAATAAAAATCAATTTTAAAAAAAATCTATACGGTAAAAATTGTTTTCAATTGTCATTCTATTTCTAATGATTTAAAGAGGCTGGGGGGTTGTGGCCATTTTTAGACTATATTGATCTCCTTTAGAAGAAGAGCTCCATATGAAGATATAGAAAATGATCAAATTTTAAAACTAAAATTTTTGAAATTTTTCTTTGCCAAATGATAGTTGACAGCTTAAGATATCATATCTAAAAAATTAAGTTAAATCTGGTGGTTAATTTGTGGTTAATTTGTTGACCCCCCAGCCTCCTTAATGCATCTTTCCACCACAGTATTTATTGATATTCTTATTATTTGAATTTTATTTTTAAAAATCGCTTGTCTCCATAGACTTCAATGCAATTTCGGTTAATTACTGCTTAGTTAATTACATTTTTGAAACTTTCTCTTGGTAAATCCTTTTCTACTGTAAAATGCTTTGAATTAATATCAGAGTATTATATACGTGATGGATATTTAAGGATAGAGAATTAGGTCCTATTAGAGATGGAAAACCTTAAGAACCCTTTGCTTGCATGACAGACAATCTTGATACACTGGTTCCCCTTAAGGAGGAGATGACACTTATTATACCCCCTTTTGAAAAGCGGGGTTGGGGGGGGGGGGTATAGTGATGTGGGTGTTCGTCCGTCCGTTACGCTTTGGGGTACTCATCTCTTATCCGCAACGCCTCTTGTACCACTAAATGAAATTTAATGAGACTTTCACAGAATCTTTGTTACTTAGTGCCATTGTACATCTCTTATTTTATATTTTGATTGAACATATATTTCGGGTTTCTAATAACAAAACATAGACACTGCCATTTTTTCTATAATATTGGGGGTACCTATCTCTTATCAGCAACTCCTCCTATACCACTGAATAAAATTTAATGAGACTTTCACGAAATCTTTATTACACGGCGCCATTGTCGACCTCCTATTTTACTTTCTGATCAGACACATATTTAGGGTTTCCCATAGCAGAACATTGACACTGCCATTCTTTTTATAAAATCGGGGGTGCCCATCTTTTATCTGCAACTCCTCAAATACCACTGAATAAAATTTAATGAGACTTTTATAGAATCTTTATTACACGGTGTTTTCGCAAAACACGCCGTCGCGCTAACACACAACTCGCCGTCGCGCTATCACAAAGTTGTGTTAGCGAGTTGTGTGACAGCGCGATACGGCGTCGTGCGCCGTGCTTTAACATTTGAACATTTTTAGCTTCTTCTCTGAAACCGCCTAACCAATTTCAACCAAATTTGGCATAAAGCATCTATGGGTGAGGGGGAACAAAAAATGTGAATTTCATGGTCCCTGCCCCCCTGTGGCCTGAGGGGTGGGGGCTAAAACCACCAAAATTAATGCAATCTTTAAAAATCTTCTTCTTTACTCCTGGACATCAAGCAGTCAAACTGTTGGCATGATTGTAATAAGCATTGAGCCATCTACCAAAATTGTGAAATTCATGGCCCCAGGGTCAGGGGTTCTGGTGCTAGGGCGGGGCTATATAGATCATATGGTGAAAGTGCATTATTTCTTTGAAAATCTTCTCTGCTCCTGGGTATCAAATAAATTAATTAAGTACATAGTTCTGATGAGCAAGAGTGCCTCTTCCAAAATTGTGAATTTCATGGCCCCAGGGTCAGGGTTGCTGGCCATTGCCCCAGGGTCAGGGGTTCTGGTGTTAGGGCGAGGCTCTATTGATTATATAGTGAAAATGCATTAATTCTTTGAAAATCTTCTTATCTGCTCCTGGGTATTAGATAAACTAACTAAGTACATAGTTCTGATGAGCAAGAGTGCCTCTTCCAAAATTGTGAATTTCATGGCCCCAGGGTCAGGGGTTCTGGTGTTAGGGCGGGGCTCTGTTGATTATTTAGTGAAAATGTATTAATTCTTTGAAAATCTTCTTTTCTGTTCTTGGGTATTAAATAAACTACCCAAGTATATAGTTATAATAATCAAGAGCGCCTCTTCCAAAATTGTGAATTTCATGGCCCCAGGGTCAGGGGTTCTGGTGTTAGGG